TGATACACTGCAGTGTATCATGATACACCATGAACCTACCATGGTACTATACTATATAGTTCACCTATAATATAAGACTTACGTGCCTACATTAACTTACGTGTAAGTATATTATTTATTTTAACGATTATTTCTTTTAAAGAAAATATGAATACATTAATGTATAACAATTATAACTTATAAAGCTGTATATATGGGCAAGTAAGTATATACCCATATACAGTACTCAACCATATAATATATATGTATAATTAGTATACCTATGTTAACATAAACCAAATTAGGGTGTTAGGCCAATATATTTGTATGTATTGAAACTCTTAAGAGCTTAGGTTCTTCAAAACATAGATGCATTTTTAAAGAATCTACCAAAATTAAGTTCTTATATTATATGTCTGTATAATTCTTTGTTTATTAAATCTGTAGTTGTTAAGTTAGATAAATATAATATATACCTATTATTTATATATTTTATAAAAAATATTTAGATACCTATATATATTACTATCAATTGATTTTGCATTGCAATTAAGTACCTACTTATGTATAATTATTAAGAGACACTAATATAATACTTAAAGCATTTTACCTATTTAATAATTACTTTTTCAACACAATTAATATACCTTTATATTATTATACATATATATAATAGATAGTATATTTAAGTTAGAGATACCACCAAATATTTCAGGTGAATGAGCTTTGATTAGAATTCTAATAGGGTTTCAGCAAAGAAAAAATTATTTTGTATTGGTATTCACACGCACAATTAATATACTACACAAATATATATATAGCTTTTTATTAAAATGGGAATATATAATATATAATATTTTTTCCTACAAGTCCTTGATAGATTATTAAATTATTTTTTTAAAAACAATATTGTTTTACATATGTATACATTTTTTTTAGTGTTAAAATGCCAAAACATGCCTACAAACCTAGTTGCACTTTATCTACAATATCCAAAGTAAGAAGAAGAAAAGATGTGCCTGAAATGAGTAGTCATTTTGATTTTACCCAAGAAGGAACATCCGATTCATCTGAAATGGGTGTAAAAAGTGTACATATTTTAAATGAGACTTCCAATGATGATGAATCTAATTTTCATGTCCATTCAAATGAATTAATTATAGTAGAACAAGATAATGTTGATAACATTGAGAATGGTGTTTATAAAAGTCCATCATATGATGAAAGTGGAAAAATTGAAAATATTTCTGATCCGACTGTTTTTCAATCTAAATTAGCATCATTTATTGTTGCATCGAAAATTCCAAAAACTAGTGCTACAAAATTATTAAAATTACTTAAGACTGTGGATAATCTAGATTGTTTAAAGTTGTTACCGTTAGATTCTAGAACTTTGTTATCTACACCTCGATCAGGTGATATTGATATTATAAGTATTGGTGGCGGAGAATATATTCATTTTGGTATCTCAGCAGGGTTAATGTACACTTTAAATATAACTAGTGAACCTGTAAACAATTTGTCTACATTAGAATTGTGGTTTAATGTTGATGGTCTTCCTATTGATAAAAGAGGAAAATCATTTTGGCCAATATTATGTAGTTTTTGGGTTAATGATTCAATTATGAAACCCTTCATTGTTGGAGCTTATTTTGGATCAAAAAAACCATTTAATGTAAAAGAATATCTTTCGCCTTTTATTACTGACATAAACAACCTTCTTGAAAATGGTTTACAATTTAACAATAAATCTCTCAATATTAAAGTCAAAGGAATCATAGCTGATGCTCCAGCAAGAGCTTTTATAAAGCAAGTTAAAGGCCATTCTGGATACTTTGGTTGCGAGAAATGTATAGAAGAAGGAGACTATTTATCGGGAAGTGTAAGCTTTCCTAATGGAAATGCACAGCTACGTACTGATGAATCTTTTAATTTATATTTAAATGAAGAACATCATATTGGAGTATCCCCATTATTAGGAATATCGGGTCTGGGACTAGTTTCATCAATCCCTTTAGATTATATGCATTTATGTTGTCTCGGAATCATGAAAAAAATGTTACATCTTTTAATTAGAGGTAGTACTGTTCCAAATGCTTGTGGCTCGGTTCGCCTATCAAAATCTCAAATTGAACGAATAAACAATCAAATGAAAATTGTAACAAAATGTTTAAGTTCTGATTTTGCTCGGATTCCTAGTGACATAAATGATTATAAAACCTATAAAGCTACAGAATTCCGTCAAATAATGATGTACACTGGACCTTTTATTTTCAAGAACATAGTTAGTCAACCAGTTTATAATAATTTTATGATATTTAATATTTTGATGCGGCTCTTGAGTTGCCATACAACTGTGTATAGTCAAAATGATTATGCAGAAAGTCTTGCAAAATATTTTTTAAAAACATTTTGTGATGTTTATGGTAAAGGGAACGTCTCGTATAATGTACACTCAATAATTCATTTGGTTAAAGATGCAAAAAAATATGGAGTTGTTGACAATTTTTCATCATTCCCGTATGAAAATTACCTACAACATATTAAAAAAATTGTTCAACCTGGTCGAGCTCCTTTAGTGCAATTATATAATAGAATTGTAGAAGAACGTGAATGTAATATTACTCTTGGATTATATATCAATTTTCCTGTCTTATATGGATGTCATTCTAAAGGACCATTACAATGTAGTATATTGAATAAATCAGTATTACAATATTCAACTTTAATTATGAAATTGTTTACCATTCGAGTTACATTTGAAAATCGTAAAAGTACTAAAAAAGATGATTGCATCATTTTTTCTTCATCTGTAATATGTATAGTGCAAAATATATTGAAAATTGATGACAAATTATTCCTTTTATGCAAGCAATTTGAGAAAGTTATTCCTATATATAATGAACCGTTTTCTAGTGCATCAGTTGGTATGTTTGAATGTAGCAAATTGTCGCCAATACTAAAATTATTTCCCATTTCAAATATTAAATACAAAGCTTGTTATTTACCTAATAAAAATAAGGATTCGACACTTTCATTTTATGTGTACACATTACTTCATAGTGTTACCTATTAAAGTAAGCAGCTGATTAAATTGTATAATGATTTATAATAATAATATAATGTTTTTTTGTAGGATGGACAATATAAAACAATATGTCATTGTTCAAAGTTTTAATGATATTGTATCAGTAATACCACAAACCTGGCTTTTAAGTACAAATGTTCCATCAATCGGGGAAGTCTGTGAATGGCATTGGCCTTTAGAATCACCAATTCTAAAATCTGAACATTATGTTAATGTTGAAAATGATTGGACTAAAAAAGTTGGACGAGTCTTAAACTTTGCTGGTACTTAATTACATATTATTTTGTTAAGTTTTATAAACATAATCACTGATATTAAAAATATTTTATTTTATTTTATATTAATAGATTCCTGTATAAAGGCCAATTTTATAGCGACTATAGAACATTTAAAACTATACAAATATGTCATTGTAGAGTTTCTTAATGAACAATCTGCCGAAGTTGTTCCGTGTAAATGGATTATTTTTAATGACATCCTTCAACAATTTATTTGTCAGTGGCCTGGAAGTGGAAATATTTCAAAATATGTCATAGCCCAAAAACAGCCTCTTGTAACTTGGGAAGTGTACGATTGTATACCTCGAAAGTTTTATGGTAAAACATAATAATTTTACTTATGTTGAATGAAGTGTTGGTAAATATGTGGATGCATAAAGATTTTTATTGGCATCGAAAAGACTTCCATGGAAGTTTCACATGTAGGTGTCCATAATATAAACTTACAAATCAGTATTTACTGGGATAAGTGAAAAAAAAATATCTTCAAATTGTTTCTTATTTTAGCACATCACTAAAAACTTATGTCCTATCCCTGCAGTGGGTACTCATTGCTGACGTTATAATGTATATGTATACATGTTATGAGAGCAAAAAAAAATTACTTTATATTTGTAGAACAAGAGTTTTACTTAAACTCTGCCATTGTAGTAAACAAGGTTAATCTAATAAATAAAATCACATGTTTGCAGAAACGTACAATGAAGCAAAATCAAAACTATCTTCATTTTGCGACACAAGCACTACTGAATTGGAGGATACTCATAGAAAACGTAGGTATTCCAAATAAGAATTTCAATTCTGGTTCAGAATAATTGTCAAATGTGGCCCCAAAACGTAAAAAAATAGCAACTAAACTATTTAAAGGTATGTAATGTAAAACATAATAATATATTATTATAGGTATTTCACTATAATGAACAGTTTAACGACAATAACATTTTATAACTCATAGTTTCCAAAATTAAGAACAAAAATGAAGTAGTTCAATCTGATAGCAGTGTGGAAAGTGTTTCAATGTTTTCAAATCCATTGGCCAATGCTCCAAAACCAACAGGTATATTAATTATTGTAAATTAATAATATTTCATAGTTAAATGTAAATACTAAATAGGCACTTTAAAATAAAAATACTGTAAAATCAAGGGTTGTTTTTTGTTTGTTTTAGATTCAATAGATTTCTTTAATGTGGTTAATGATAATGAATATGATCATGATAGTACACAAGTACCTGACAAATTAAACATCACTAATTTACACTCAGGAAGTATGTTTTATTTTTTATAAAATAATTTAATTTATATACTTATACATTTTTTTATTTAAGTCATGAAAGATATCAGCTCTAATATTGAGCATCAACCAGAATCAGAAGATATCAGCTCTAATAATGATTATCGCCCGGAGACAGAAGATATGAGCTCTAAAATTCAGCATCAACCAGAGTCTGAATGTATTAATATACATTTGACGCAAATGGTAAATGATATTGGTCACGCTGTTATGGATGGTACATATTTGTTTAATTTCATACCTACAACTAATATTTAGATGATATTTAGTAAAATGATGATTGTTGTATTTTTTAACGAAGTTGCACGTAAGATGGCCACATTACAAAAAGATATAAAAATAATTCAAGTAGATGTAATGAAAAACCAAGAACTTTTGATAGATATAAACACGCATTTAACCCATTCAGTTACCACTACAGACCAAAGATCTTTCAACCGGTCTAGTTTGAACCTACCTATAGAAACTATGGATGAATTGAAAAAAATTGACGCTGAAGAGGATAAATTAAAAACTTTGGTAATTTTCTAAAAATTAAATTCTATTACTTAAATTAAGGATATTATAAGAAATTGTTGTTTATTTAGTATCAGATTTTAAAAAGAGATTCAAAATCATTTGATGCCAAGCGTACAACATACTTGGCAATGAAGACAGTCATCCATAACAGATTAGCTGAATATTTAAACATGGAAGGTAGACGAGGAGATAAAAGTGCATTTAGCAAATTTAAAATTTGTACCATTGTTATAGGTAATAAATAGTTTTTAGAAATCACACATCTTTAACAATAAGGGTTTTAATCGTCAAATATTTTAAGGATATTACATATGGTATGGATAAAACTACTATCTACAACTTAACTATAGGATTTTTATAGTTGAAATGTTGTTCTAAATATTTTTAATTTTGAGCTATTTCAAAATATTCAATTACAAATTTATATTATTGACTTTTTTTATATTTAATTTATCATATTATTATAATATTATATATTATTGTATTTATATTGTTTGTATTAGATAGCGTTAAAGACCATTTCCCACACAGTTCAATTGTAGAAATTAAAGGACACATAAGTGACTGGTTAAAACAAGCACCCAAAAGAAAATAACCTTAAGATATCTAATAACATAAGTGTACTTATATACCTATATATAAATAAAAATATATGAGTACAATATAATTTAATGAGATTTGTTATTGTTAATTGAATGTAATATCTTATTCTTTATTTGTGTATACATTAATAATCCATATAATACTATTACAAAAGAATTTAATTTGTATATTGATCTTAATTGAATAAGATATTTTGTTGATTAACCTATATAGGTTAGTTGGCAGTGTACTCAGATATATATGTATTAAAAATTAAAAAATACCTACTAATCAATGTACACTGCCTTACTGAATGATGTTTTTATAAACAAATAAATATGTGAGATAGGTAAACCGGTTTTAGATTACCTACTAGATATATGAACTTAAAATATATTAATATATAAACATCAACACCGAACTTAAACTCAGATTATATATAGGTACAGGACCCACAAAAAGATCTCCCATATTTAGAGATGGCACCAGTGAACACAGTCTGTAAGGTATAATCTACGTTTATATCAAGATCACTTTTAGTAGTTCATTAGAATTACACCAAAAACATAATATGTAGTTTGTACCAAGTATAAACGTGTTACATACTGAAAATATACGTAGGTTAAACGTAAAATAGGTGTGCTTTTTACCAACATTATCCAAAATATTATATACCAAATATTCACCAAAAATACTTCACCTTTAAATGAAACATAAACCAAATATATCCTTAATTAATATACGTATTTTAAACGTAAATTACGTGTTATTTTTACCAATATTATCCAAAATATATACCAAATATTCACCAAAAATACTACACCTTTAAAACGAAATATAAACCAAATATATCCTTAAATATACTTAGTTTAAATGTAAATTAGTTTTTTTTTTTTACCAATAATATCCAAAAGATATACCAAATATTTACCAAAAATACTTCACCTTTAAACGAAACGTAAACCAAATATATCCTTAAATATTGGTAATAAACACACGTAGTTTATACGTAAAATATACAGTTTGTTTATACGCGTTATATACGATTAATCTTGGTGAAATAGTTATCTTTTGAACTAGTGGTCCACGTAAATTATCTTAATAGATCACCAAATTCCTTCGTTTAAAACACGTAATTCGGTGTTCATATCTACGTATATTAAACGCATAATATTCGTATATATGTTGACTGGGATATATTATTTATGTTACACATACCTGGCTCACAGAAATATTTTTAATTGTCTGTTTTCACTTAGCGTTGATTTCATTAAAATTGGTACCACTTACTACATTCAATATATATTAGTCATGGTTTTTTAGCCAATAAACAATTTAATTATAACAAAAAAAATTATTTAAAGAGTTCCTTCTTACTTGTCATTTTATTTAAAAATTAGCTGATCCTGTGCACTTCGTTGCCAGTCAAAAATGCCAATTCTATATGAGACTTGCTTGTGATAATGTGAGTAACACACTATTAGGTAGGCAATCCACTTGTAGTAGGTTGCAGATCCTGCTAGGTGCATACTCTTACTCTATAAGAATAATATGTTTTAATTTTGTGGTAGGTTTGTGTATATCTCGGGAGGATTTTAGTGGATGGTTAAGGTTATATTATAATTAATAATTCTATAATAAATGTAATATTTTACTGATTAACTCATTTAACACATGGTAATTATAATGATGATTGGTGTGTGCCAATTGTTAAACTTCTAGGTTTCCTTCCTGTAAAAATAAAATGATTTCTGCCAATGATCATGGCTCCATATTTTCTAAAGTATGGACTTTTATCTTGAGAACACATAAAGTAATTACTCAAAAATCACTCAATCAAATCTCTATTTAGATACATCAACATCTTCAAAAAAAAATAGTTGCTAGACAAATTGCATTTAAAAATAGTGATTCTAATTTGAAATAAGCAAGTTTCTATTAACATATTACACAACTTAAATTATGTAAAAAATCCAAGTACCTATACAAAAATATATACTATTAAATTCCAAAAGTTAAATTTTGAATAAATGCAATATAGTATGCGGACATACTTGGGTATATTTATTACGAACAATATCTAACACAAGGCTAAATTATTTTATAACATTATCTGTACACAATTCAATTTTATAAGATACTTATACAAATTTTACATTTAATTTAGGTATATTTTTTTTCTATACAATTTTATAATTATTAAATAAATTACAATTTCATTATGATCATTTTATAAATTTGTTTATAAATAGTAATTGTTATAATTATTATTTTTAGTGGTGTAGGTATTATTAGTTTTGTAATTAAAAGAACTAAGAACTAAGATTTAACTAAGACTTCAATGTGGACTTCAAGTAATGTTTATTATTTAATTAAAAGCTGATTTACAACGAATGATTAGAAATTATTAAAAAACAGCGCTCAGAACGTTCACTAAAAAAATGAATTTGTTTAAGTTCAAGTTCAATCCTTAAATAAGAACACCATCAAGTTCATTTAAAAATTGAATGCGTCCACTTAATAGTTCATATAATTTTTTTTAAATAAGAATTATAATAAGAAAATATTATTGTATAATATAAATAATCAATATATTTCAAACATATATTTATTAAATGACAAAATAAATTGAGCTTCTTAAAAATCGTTCAAATTCATTAAAATATAAACATTAAATTTCATTCAAGTTCATGTTCTATTTGAAAAAATAAGTGATGTTCGAGTTACTCTCTCTAAATGTGAACATGAGTTCATGAACAACAAATTTTCCAAAGACTTAAAACAATTTTTATATTAAATGAGATTATTATTTAATTATAATTATTATCTATGAAAGTTAAGTATAACTTACATGTAGAAGAATTATTATGAATAATACATATTATATTATATACACATTAAATTATAATTTTTGTCATACAACCACCATAACAAAAACAATTATTGAAATCATTGTTACTCAGATATTGACCAAACATTTATAGTTACCTTAAAGATTTTTTATTTCTGACATCTTATTCCATTTTCATTTCTTGCATATAATTGGGTTAAATTCAATCAGATTATAAAATTGATAATCAATAATAGCTAAAATTATAAATTATATTTCTTAAAGCTTCTTTGCCCCTATCTATCTTTTGTAAGTACTGACATTAAAAGATAATGTAGAATATTTGTTCTATTAAACTAACTAATTGACTTTGTGCTCGATGTAGTTCATATTTCAAGCCCGAACTCTTTAAATCAAAATACACTGTTCTTAGCCTTGAAAGTAGTTTTTTTAACACTTTATAGTTACACATTTATTTTTTATCATGCATTGGGTAGTGATGTGCCTTAGAAATATTCCCAAAGGAAAGAAATATTTAATTGGGAATTTATTGGAATTATTTCCACATATTTTTCTTCCCTAAATTGGAATTTTTTTCCGTTCTATTGGTCTACACTGTTAGGAGGTTTACTGGATTAATTTATATGACTGATATGGCAATAATATAATTTTGACTTACCTACAAGAATTTCCAAATTTAAAGTAAAAATTCCCATTATTTGGGAAATAATTATTAATTCAGTTAATATTTCCTTATTTTTAAATACCTGGATATTACCTATCACTCACTTTAGATAAATTGTACGCATACAAATAAATGATAAATAAAATAACATCATGTCATAAATAGTAACAATTTAGAGTGTAATAATAAACAAATAATTACCAAGTATATTATTAATTTGAAAAAATATAAGAAATAAGTAATATAAATTAAATTAAACTATTAGTTTTGACCTTGTTCCATCTTCAGATAATATAAATAAATAATTTAAAAACAAAAATCTAATAAATGTTTGATAATAATTTAATAAATACCCAAAAGTTAGTACTTAATAATTTATGTAAAAATTACTATTTAACTACTAACTATACCGAAGACGGCTGTAACCATGGTTTGATTCTATTCATAATACTTTTTTGGTTTGTGAATTTTGATTAAAAGTTATCAGGCTTACTATACACACCAATAATTACTTTATAGTTTCACAAGTATTAAATGAATATATTTAATAAATTATTTATGAATAATCATAAATATTTAAAGTTGAATCAATAATTATTTGTATAAGTTGGTTTACTTTAATGGATATCGTTTTTTTAATTATTCCTATTATTAGCAAAAAGTGGTTTGGATAATGTTTATTTTACCAGCTAGTATTAAGATTATTTAGTTGCATTTTGATGGCAGAAGTCTGAAATGTGTAATATATTATATATCATTACTATGTCACCAGCTCAAGTATGTTTGGTTCACCAAGCCCAATTTAAACAGTGATTATGTATACCCTTGAGGATGGTCAGAGACTAGAGCACATTTACTCCTATTATCAAATATGCATCATCATTTTATTTCCTTACACAATATCAATTTGCTTATCATAAATTAACTTTGAGTTTAGTCATTTTATGATTAATATTAGACAGTTTTGTAAATCTATAGAGGTTAAAAAATGTAAAGCTCTAAGAACATAAATTTTAAGTTTCTGTATGTAATCCTTTGCTTCTGCCAAAATTAAATTGAGAGCCACTGCCTTGTAATAACACAAATGAAAAACATTTTCTATATCCACATATTTTTCATTTCTTTAGAAATAATTAACAACAATTTTTAAGTTGCTCTTTCAAGAGGGATTACTTTATTTTTTCTTAATTTAAATTACACATTAATATTGTAGAAAGTACAACATAAATATACAAACACATTTTCCAGTAATCAAATTATAATATTAATAAGATACCACGTATGATAAATTTTACTATTAGTTGTAAATAAAATGTTATACGTTATTCACTACTTCTACAACCTACATAGTGTGATTTTTTTGATTTCTAATAAATGTTACTCAATAATAATAAAAATAATAATAACTGTCATGGGAAATACAATTTAAGTGTATTAAACACCAAATATAAAAAAAAAAAAAACTATTCAATAAAAATTAGTTTTACAATCACTTATATATAAGCAGTCAATGAAACAATAAATCATAAATAATTTTAAAATTTAGTTTGTTTGATACTATTGAGATCTATACCAATTATGAGTTTATTTACAAAAGTAAAAAAATGATTATTACCCTGGCCTGTAAACCTCTCCTCAGGTACAAAAGTAATAGCCATAATGTTTTGATTATACACATTATTTACATAATACAACAAGTATAAAATAAAATATATTTTAACAATAAATTTTATTCAAATAATAACAAACCCCGTAACAAACTAATCATCAGTTGATAAAAAAGGTTCAAGGCAGGTGTTCATAAGCTCATAAGCTATTGTTTGCCGGAAGATGGGAATATCCTCTTGAGTGAATTCAGGTCTCTGGGAAAATATGTAATACTTGGCATTCATACAAGTGAATACACCGCAATCAGTATTATTCAACTGTTCGGGAGAATAACATGTTTCATATGTCCATTCCGTTGGTAAAGCTCGATCCACATTTGAATTGTTCACATAGTCGATAAGTGCCTCATTACAAAAGTCAGTCACCACTTTGAGTTCTTTTGAAATATCTATATTCTTTAAACTATCATAATATTCAATTTTACCTTTCCATATTTCAATAACACATAGAGCCCAATGATTATGACCAGGGTTGATTGGCACAAAAACAAAGTCCACATTACTCAGATCATTACTGTTAAAAAACTTTTGAACAGATTGGTACCCACGTTGTTCATAACTAGCCAACATATCTGTACTAAATGAGAATGCATTCTCACAATAACTGACCAATAAAAACATATAATTTTGAATTATTGTATCTGTAAGCCATGAATTGGGAGTAAGTAAGACCATAATATGTTTTACTTGCAACTCATAGCCTCTAGCAGTTTTCCTATTCACAACAAAATTTAGTGTCTTTTCCCTCAAATAGTTAATTACATTTTCATAAATGTGTACTTCGTGGGTAGGAAATCTTGTTATTTGTTCTTCTGACATTGCTATCATGTGTATGCCAGTAATATCTACTATTGGGTCTTCAGTGATGATTGTATTTCCATCCTCTTCACTCAAATCAACAATTTCAGGATTCTGTGCCCCATTATCGCCATTATCAACATTGGAATTTTCTTGATTCAGAACTATTTGTGATGGATTTTCAAATGGAAAAGTATTATTATCATCTACCATTGATACATAAATATCATCAACATCCAATTGGTTTAGCAACTGATCATCATCCAATTGGTTTAGCAACTGATCATCAACATCCAATTGGTTTAGCAACTGATCATCAACATCCAATTGGTTTAGCAACTGATCATCAACATCCAATTGGTTTAGCAACTGATCATCCGTTGGTGAAACAGGGTTACATTCATGAGAAGTAGTTTCATCATCAGTAGCTTCAACAATAACATTAAAGTAAAATTCATCCGGGTTTGCCATATTGTTTGATTACTGATTAATTGAAATTATTTGATACAAATTCTTTTAACAATTTAATTTTTATAGGGCCAGGTAAGTCTAAAAACAAAAACAAAAACAACTAGTTATAAAAAATAAAACTATAAATATAATAATTAAAATAAATAAAAAACTATTAATAACCATTAATAATTTATTTATTTTATTTAAGTAATTCTTTTATTAGAAGTTATGAAGACACGTATAATTACATGGGCCAAATAACAGTAATGAATTAATGAAAAGGCTAAAATGAATAGTATACAATATAGGTACTAGTAATGTATTCAATTAAATAAGTTAGAATCTTGGTCATGCTGAGAAATTTAAAGATTTAGGAAAACTAGTATAAATATAAATTTATATATTGTGTTAGAATTAAGTTCGATTAACTTAATCAACATAACCTTCTGTATTATTAAATTAATTAGTAAATATTATGGCTGGTACAGTGAATAAAAAATTATCTAACATAAATAACAAAATTGAACAACCAGTCTGGTAAACTGAAAAAATAATTAAGTAGTATTAAAAAAAACTTAAGACTCAAGAATTTCGGAGTACTGATGACTAGATCACTTTCTCATAGACTTGCCATAATTTAGCTACTCCCTATCTTCAAACTATACAACAAAATCATTATTTAAATAAATCACAGGTTTATTTCTTTGATCATAAAATACATGAAAAGTTAGGTACATACATCAAAAAAAAAATTCTAAACTAAAATAAATAACCCTGTTTTATATCTTTAAGGAAGGTAAAATAAAACAGCACAGTTTCATGATAACATTATTTAAAATATTATAATACATTAGGTAAATATTTTTCGAAAAAAAAATTATTGTTTTCCATTATATTAACAGGATAAATATTATCTATATCAACAATTTGTGTATGAAAATGTAACAATGCATAACATTTAAAATAAGTAATTTAATATTTTATGAAATGGCAGATTAAAATTTCTAGGGCTGATGACTGAAAATGTATGGATAAACTAAAATTATAGATTAAGTATAAATTATCTAATAAGATAATTTAAGTATAATTGTATTAAAATATTATTTTTAATCTTAAGAGGACACCTCAGGGGCATTTGTAGTCTCCATCATATAAACGTACAGCATGGCAAATTATAAGTTCACAATAATACATTTTACACTGTAATTTCTAAAATTAAAGTAAGTTTATGTCTAATAAAAGTTGAAGGCTTGTAAGGCATCTCAGATGATTTTAATGATACTTTTATTTTTAAGTAAGTTATGATAAATTTAAGATTTACAAATTATTATGAAATATATCCAATTAATTGTACAAAAAATTTAGTTTAAAAATGGTCAAACTTACTTAAAAATAATATCCTTCGAGGGCCCTTAGATAATTTTCTGGCCTTTAAATTTTATAATTTTATTCACTCTAATTTCAGAAATTATAACGAAAAATGAATTATTGTGAATGTAAAATTTTTCATGTTGTACTTTTGCAAGACGGAGACAACCAATGCCTGTGTGGTGTCCTCTTAAGCATGCTCGGATAATTTGACATTGATTAATTTCAAAAACAAAATTAGAACACCAAAATTTCACTTAAAAAGAAAAAAAACAATGAAATGTTTTAGTATAGAAACTGAATTATAAGCATACTATTATAGTTCACCTTTAAGATATTCTGATAAAAATTAACAATAATTAAATATTTAATTGGTTAAGTTAATATTACTGCTCCAACTATTTTAGAACCTTTTATTATGTAATTTTGATTGTCTTTTGTGCACAATTTGCAAAGATATGTATTTTGTTAATAAAAAATTACAGCTGACAAATAATTAACACTAAATTAAAACACCATTTTTTTCCATTTTTTTAAATATTTAGTTGAGAGATTGAATTTTAAATTTAAAAAAATAGTTTTCAATATAAATTTGTAAACCACTTACATTTCAACTTTAAGGTTCAAGTTGTATAGACAGTCGACAAGTTGATCACCAGTTTGATATACCTAAAAAACCAGAATTATATATTAGTTATTATAAACAATAAATAAATAAATTTACATGTATAATTAATGTTTAATCCTCTTAAACAAGTATCTACACGTATAATGAATATTCTTCATTTTAACCTTGAGCTTAAGATAGTTAAAATGATACATCTTCCACAAATTTTATTGTTTGAGCATTTAGTTTAATATTTCAAGAATTAAAAATTTAACTTAATTAAGAACTTAATGAATGTCAGATGTTTATACTATAGAAAAATTAAAAACATTCTAAGAATATTAACATTGTTAAAAAAAATTACTTGAATCAAAAGACATACAGTCTAGATATTTTTTTTTATAGGAATATAAAATTTGAAAATATTTAAACTAGATATTTATATAAGCTCTCTCATGGGTATTATTGTATACACTATATGTGATTCATTAACAACTACATTTTATGGTTTATCATAGTTAAGAATGTGTAAAGACAGTATAGAATATTGTAGAAAAAAACATAAGCGTTTAGAGAAAAAATTAACATAAAACTTTATCATAACAATACATGGCTAGATTTTCCTCAGTGAAAAAAAATATTTATATTTAAACGAATTACATGCACCTTTATTAAAATGACATGTTCATAGGTTAACACTTTTAAGTTTAGATAGAAATACAATCAAATATGCACTGTTATCGTATGGGGAAACGGTAAGAAATACAATTCTAATATTAAAGTATATTATGCATTATGGAGGTATAAAATTAGAAATATTTTATATTAAAGTTGTTTTTGTTGTTGTCTTACATTAACAGTTCAAGACATTTGCTATAAGTAATTCTGGTTTAGGGTCCAAGATGCATTTTTAACATGAATGGTATAATTATAGTAATATTTCATGATGAGATTGAATATCATATCTTGACACAATTTAATTTGAAGCTTTATATTATCACACATAAAATTATATGAATTACAATGACAATATTAGTTACCTTGAGTAGCTAATTTAATTTCCTAATTTGTAATAAGAGATAATCATTCAGTACAGATATTTAGTGATCAATGAATTATTTATTCAAATTTATATTTAGGAGCAGAACATTTTATATTAATTTATTGTTGACCTAAAAATAAATTTAAAAAGACAAAAGTCTATGAAATTAGCTTAGAAGATAATGCAAAGGTACTCATTTAAGCTATATCAAATTTACTAAAAACATTTCAAAACAATTTTAAAATGCCAATAATACTGAAAAGACAACAGAGACACATAGTTTGAAACTAGAAAATATACAAATAGATCAGGAAAATACTAGTTGTTTAATAGATGTATATTAAATTTTTTTAATCAATGTTTGATTTCTGTGTCAACAGTTTTTAGAGTTTTAGGATGATACTAGTTCAGCTCAAATTATGAAGTGTAACATTACAAGTGACAATTCAAATCTACAGTACGAAATAATAACAATATTATTCCCAACCATTACCATTTACCACAGCTATTATAAGTTCTAATCAATTAAAAAAAAATTGTATGTTCAATTGATTGAGCAGTTTTTTTTTTAAATTTAAACAGATAGAATACCTAGTATAATGGTTTGTTTATTTCAATGTGCCCAGTAAAATAAGGCTAATCCTTCGATAAGAATCGCGGAAAAAAATCAACGATGATTAAACTTTCAGCATTTTAATAATACACTTGAAATAAATGTAATAAATCATCTATCTTTAAGAGTCGAAAGTAATGAAATAAACATTGAAGACTTCCTAAAAGCAATCGCTCATAACACAAGACTGTAATGATTAAGTAATATTATAATCACATTTCATTTCATTTATATACAATTTGTTGAAAACAATCTGAATGATTGGTGTAAAAAGAAAAATTAAAGTCAATATTTGAATTAATTAAACTACTGTTGCATATTATGCTGCCAATTTTTTAAAAATATGTACAAATTGTAAGTGAATGTTGTGATTCAATATATTTAAGGAAGAAAGTGGAGTGTTTATATACAAATCAGTTCAATATTGAGCGTTCAAGAAGTTCTAGACTTTAACATATCAAATTGTTCTTGCATTATTTATGCAATAAATTTATGCATTAAATAATTAATTCAATTTTTTTTTTAAATGTGACCTGCAATTTATTATAATATAATCACTTATCAGATTTTTTTAAAATCATTTATATATTATTTTATACCAGGCACATAATATTTAATGTTATAAAGAAATTATTACTCGTTATAGAATTTATCTTTTTGAAAACCTTGTTAAACTTGTAATTTGTATAACCTTAAGTATCTTATACACAAGGTGATTAAGAGGACGCTGCATCAATCATTAGCATGTGTTGTATCTGTCTTACAAAATATGTACAACATAGCAAAAACTGTATTGCGAAGGATAGAACCACTCAATCTGTAGTTTTAGTCGAGACAACAAAAAATAACACAATATAGAAGATAATATATTTTCTGTGTCGCAGAGTTTTTGTTTGTTTGATATCATTAATAAGAAAAAAGTTATAACATTTTAAAACAATTTGATATAATTCCGCTTTTCAAACTTTTAAAATTACTTTTTATGTGCTGATTTTATCTAAAAAATAAAAAGATATAGTTAAAATTCTCCTCTATTCATAGTGAAAATTTGGTTTCTTAGTTATAATTATAGTTTTCTCAGTTCTTGCCCATGCAAATCAGTTTTTGCCATGTAGTACATTTATAAGACGGAGACAAACATGTGGATGCAGCATCCTCTTAATCGCGCAAAATAAAGGTAGTAAAATTCATGGAAATATGGCGAATTGTACCTAACTTAAGTTGTACAACACCAGAGGATCATTGCAGCTAGTTCTACGCTCCGCACACGCTTGTGCGCAACGTTAACTACTATCAACAGTATCAACATAACTTAATATAATTACTAAGAGTGATGACTAGCACTTGTCCAAAAACTGTCCGAAGGACATCCAATACTACAGTTTATAATTATTAATCATGATCTTTAATACATATTGTATAATATATACCAACATGTAATGCTTATGTCAATTTGTATGTATTTTATTGTAATCATTTAAGATGTATAAATAAATAAATATTATATTTAATATGATATATATCCCCAAAACATTTCTATTAACTTAATATTATTTTAAAAGAACCATGAACATATGATGTTGTTTAAAAGGTGGTATGAAACATAGCAATATTGTATATTAAATGACCTAGGTTTATTAATATTTTATGAAACAATTGAATAATTTATTTTTTATAATTTATCATACTTGTACTATAGATCTTTAAATAAAAAACTACTGAAAACTATTATAATGAATCAAAAATGAGCTGGCACGTTAATATTGATAAAACTCTACCTTATAATAATATATTAACTAAGGTGTTATACTGTCAATAGGTAAATACTTAGTATTACATCACAATGGGGGTCCTATTTATAAGGTACAATATAAGGTCCTTTGGTACTTGTTGCTCCACTCAGAATAATTGTTGTTGTTTATTAGAATAAGTACAAAATGTGTTATTGTCAATGTACATCCTGTCATATTTATTACACATGTATATTATGTATGATTTATTAATATTATTATACTGTACAATAATGAGAAAATTACAAAATAATCTAGCACCACATATTATATGACAATTAAAAAAAAAATAAAATACAGTAAAGATTATTTATTTCCAGAAAGCACGGACTTCTATTTATAAAATATTAAATTATAACAAAATTTCCAGCTATGAGTAGCTAATATCAAATAACTAGAACATTAAAGATTAAGTTCAACTTATTTTATGGATAATCCAATATTTTCAAATTTGAAAGATATTAGATTATTTAATTAAATCATACACAATGCAAATATAATATCGTCCTATATAGTTCCTTGGGCAGTTGTGCGTACAATCAGCACATAAATGTTGAGGGAAATAAATGGCGCGCGCATGCGTGTACGGAGCCTCGAACAAGCTGCGATGATCCGCTGGTGTACTAACACCGTGGATAAATCATACGCCTATATTATATATTAATAAACAGTGTAGGTAAGTTTAGTACATAAAATAATTGAAATAACATTTTATCAAAATGGATGTATATAGCATTTTTAGCATCATTTTTAAACTTTCGAAAAAAAACATCGGTTTCGGTACTTTCAAGTTTTAGACATTTCTTGTATCTTTGAAATTAACAAGGTTTATATTCCAAAACTTTTAAAACTAAGGTCTGAATAAAATAACCTTAGGATAAGTTGAGAATGTATACTGGGAGGGAGTATGCGGCATATGCTATATTATTATACAGTTTAGACTTAACAAAAGATTATTGGGTACAGTAAACGGATGAAGTTCGTCAGAGTGAATAAGTTGATATTTTTTTTACGCGTACCCTTTGTTTTTCTTCCATGAAAAGCATTATAAATTCTTATCGGATTAACAAAATGGATGGATGGAATTGTCGCACATCGACCATCCGGTAACGGTAGGAACAACAGACTGGATGCTCCCAGACGCCCTCCTCCGCTCTACCCTTCTACGACACGAGGTATTAACTCATAAATAAAGTGCAACGGCGATTATCCACAGTTCAGCGTTTACATTTAGGTAGGTATTTTTAAAAATAAAATCGTTCAAAAGAATTCTACACACGCCCAACACTAGTTAAAGTCGATTTAAAAACCACTAGAATCACAACATTAGACATGTAAGTTAAATGTTTTTACTTTATTTGTTCAAATGTAATTTCAGAAAACCATGTGGATTAGATGAATCCATTGAAAAAGGACATTTTAAAGCTTAATTCCAATTAACATATTTATCTTTGATTTTAGCCATAACCAATGCAACGTCAATCTGGAAAACCATCAAATTAAATTATCCAAAAATCAGACATCATTTCTACAAGCAGTCACTATAACGAGACAAAATATTAAAATAACGGGTAAGTGAGTAGTTTTTATATTGTTAAATCATATATGCTTAAGTTTATTAATATGAAAATAAATAAAATGCAGAACTGCCAATAAAAAATATTTAAACAAATGCCCGATAACATGTCACAAATGCTATTTACCAATCCTAGAATTATAGCAGTAACTATGGTCTACAAAACTTGTATTGATCACATGAAAATAATTATAACCTCTGGCTTTTTCAAGCATGAAATTCTTATAAGTAAACAATACTTAATATAGTATAGTATTGTATTAGTTACAATTATCAGCTTATATTGTGTAAACAAAAGTTTACAAAAATTTCAATTTGATTAATAAATACATGCATCCTCTTTTATTTTTGAGTAGATTTATTGGAATCAAAGACCACAACATATAGTATGAAAATTATTTTATTGTAAGGAAAACCATATAGGGTTTAATTGTTGTACGTTTGCTAACCAATAGACACAATTATTAGGTATGGATCTTGGTTGAATAATTTAAATTTGGTTCATAAAATAATATTATTTAATGTAAGCTAACATTGCAAATAAAAATTATGTAATGTTAAGTGTAAAAAAAGAAAATTGGGGTCTTAATAAAAAAACATAACTTACATTTATATTATTAAATAAACAAATACGATTTTATTCAGACATTATTGTGTAAGTTTATTACTTGATATTTATAGTAGATAATATTTATTCTTAAAACTATTTTTAAATTTTATAAGTGTCTAATTCTCCAATAAACATTGTCTATTCTGGTTCACAGGCTTATAAAAATTAGGTACAGTAGAACCTTATCTCGATAAGTCGAAACTTAAGGAAAATTTAAGTTTTTCCCTTTGATAAGGTTTCCAACTTACTAGGGTTAGGTAAGGCAAAGGAATGGCATTTATTTTAATTTAATAAGGTTTTCGACTAATCGTGGTTCCACTGTATTAACATAACATTTTAAAATAAGATTTATATAAATAAATATAATCATTAACAAAATTAGGAAATATGTATGTTACTTGTCTATTATTTAGTTTTTAACTATGTTAGCATTATAACTAATTATAAATTATAAATATACCTATAAAGTTGTGTTAACATAATAATTATTATAACATATGGTACAATATATATCAATAATAAGTTATAATAACACTACTATCAATACAAAATGCACTAATAAAAATATTAAATAATATACAAACTATAAATACAAATAAATTCATAATGTGATTGATGGCAGTCAAAAGATGATTATACATTTTGACTAAAACTAAAGAACCTATTTTCTAATCTATTGTTATGCGTATAAAAATATATATATTGATTCAGGGGGGGATATAAAATAGCTACAAAATACTTGGGGGAAAGACACGAGGTAGAAATGTCCCAACACAAATAAATGGTGTTAAATTTGAATTCAATGACATTAAATCATTATATACAAAAAATGATTATGAGCAAAGAGGTCGGTCAGCCTATTAGTAATTTATTTCATTATTAAGCATTGGTACTAATACAGAAGGGCAAATTAATTTTTGCCAAAAAATTACATTTTAAAAGGCATTGTGCATTTGTATGTATAAAATATAATAATATACTCTAAAAGTTTCAAGTAGGTACCCACAAATTATTTTTTTTAGATTTCTAGTTACAGAATTAACTACTAATGTGTAACTTAATTTTAAATTTTTGATCTTTAGCTATACAAGTTGAACATTATCCAATTTGATAAGTTTTGTCAACATTTTAACTTTAAATGCTTCTAAAACAAAATTGAATTTTGATTTTTAATATTTTTCAACTGATATTGTAATATATATGTTATGGGCAATGCAAACCACAAAATTCTTTTTTTAACCAACTAATATTATTTTTTATTATTATTATAGATTATAATAATTACCTATTTAAAGTATTGATTTTTTTTTTTAAACAATCGTTATTAATTTTATTCATGTACCAAACTATTACAAATATTTTGATGGAATAATACAAAAATAAATTAACAAGTATCGTAATTTCATTTGTATAGTAAATTATAATTTTATTATTACCTATTTATTTGAACAAGATTTAAAATAGCACTTGGAATTACATAGTCTGTCTGCTTTTCTACACTTGATTTTTGAATAGGCAGTACGATAAGTAACAAAAGTAAGTTTATAAAAAAGTAGGTAAGTAGTAAGTTTCAAAAAATTCATAGTTTATTGTATTATGATACATGAATAAAATTAATAATGATGGTTTTAAAAAAAAATCAATACTATAAAGAGGTAATACTAATAAATAATAATATTAGTTGGTTAAAAAAAAAATTGTGGTTTACATTGCCTGTAACAATTTTATTACCAATTATCAAATATAATTGAAGTGCTCAGGAATACATAATCAAATTGTGCCTTAACTGATGCCTATCAAATCACTATATTTTAACTTTAAAAAATATACTAACTGCATCAACATCTTAACTGTAGTAATCACCTATAATAAACACAATATGAGTATTTAATAAATACAATTTTCATACTCTATTCAACAGAGAGCGCAATTTGTTCAGTTGGTCTTGAGGTCTAAATTTTCCCACCACGACTGGGTACCTGCACTTGTATAAAAATCTTTGATATGTGGCGCTTGCGCTGGTTAAGTGGTGGGAATGTGCAGACTACGACGAGTTTCGTTCTTCCATTGAACTGGGTATAGTTATACATGATGTAAAATTTAAAAAAAAAACTGAAATGAAATAATTCCAAATGGCTAACAAAAATGCCAATATATATTGTAAAAATTAGAAAAATATGATAGATTTTGATTATTCTATCACTAATAATTTCAAATTCAAACTAAAACCCTAAATAGGTTCAAATACTTTGAAGATAATACGTAAATAATTTGTGAATTTCAGTGTTAGGTAAATTACTTTTAAAAAGTAATTAAGTTACTTTATTTGTAAATTATACTACTGATACAACTACTATACTGATAATTATTTATATTTTAAACAAATATAAATACTATAGATATTACTTATCAAAAGTAACTTCCATTACATTTTCTTTACTTTGAAGCAATTTTAGTGAAATTATGTAATGCGTTACAAACTAAATAACGTGTTACCTTTAACATATTACTACTCAAAACTGATAAATTCTAAACTAGTGTATCTAACTATTAACAAAATAAGTGTGTACTACAGTTTGGATCACCAAGCATAATCACCCTCTTTTTTCTTCAATAATACATATATTCGAAATCTGATTTTTAAAGTTTAAAAAAAAATTTAACATCATATTTTCAAATTTTTGACTTTTTGTACAACTCAAGGAGAGTCCTGTGAAGATAAAACTTCTGTTTTTCAAATAAGAGTACTCCTATTCAACTTAAACTACACAGTAGATCAGTGTTTCCCAAATAGTAGGTAGCTGCCCACTACCGGGCCATGAATATTTAATACCGGGTTGCAGAATTCAATGAAATTCTCATATTAAATTTGTTATTTATCATTTTCGTTTGATAATTTAAACTATTAAGCATGAAGATAAAGTCAAAGAGATGGGAGAGATAATTCAAATGTGTTTTATTTTGCCTTGTATTACACAATGATAAATTTAAAATATTTTGGTGGGTCACGAAGGTAAAAAATATAAATTACCGGGCCAGTCCAAACAAGAGTTTTGGAAACGCTGCAGTAGATTATTCACTGAAATTTTTTAAGTATCAAAATCAAAATTTTTACGAATTTGTTTTTGAGTTATTTAACAAGTTTTAAGAATAAAAGGTCCATAATAATGAGTTTATAAATTATAAGGGCTCACATTTAAAATTGTAGTCATTAATATTAATCTATTGAAATAAATAATTTAGTAAAAAATGGCCCAAGTATAATAAATACTAGATCCAATTGTATGTCTATTTTATATTTATGTAAAACCAGTTTTAAGGACTATTATCCAAAATTAAACATTTCAATAACTAAGAAACTAATCATTCGGGGGACGAGGTGACCGAGTGGTCTGATGCGTCCGCTGCGACGCAGCCGGTCGTGGTTTGATCCTCGGCCACCGGGCGGCATGTTTTTCCGGACAAGTCGCAGTGACCGGAGAACAAGTGCTGCCATCCCCCACCCCCGGGTCATTGCAGAAACCTACGGGTGCCCTATTCTAAATTCTGCCAAAAACAAACACACACGTGTTCCCCCCTACCGTCCCAAAATATACAATATAAACCATCAATACAAACCTACAATACCTACTAAATACTAATAGCTAATGGCCACAGTTGTCGGGCTCAAGATCAATAAAAAAAAAAAACTTATCATTCAAATTTTTAAAAAAATTATCCACTAAATTTACAGTAAAATAGGGAGATTGTTCTCATTTGAAAAACAGAAGTTTGAATCATCACAGGATACCTCTAAAGTAGTACAAACAAATTCAAGAATTTTAAATTATGGTCTTTGAGTACCTATATTAAAAAATTCCAAAAATCAGAATTTGAATACATTTATTATTTAAAAAAAACACGGGGGGTAGCATGCTTGGTGAATCATCCTGTATAGACCTAAACACAGTATAATAGCATAGTTAATAATAAACCCACCATCAATGATGAATTGACTAGACTAGTGCATATCAACGTGCTTCCCAGCATATTAAAAGTAGGGTACAAAAACATATCACACCTGAAGAGGACACTATACCTGCATGTGTAGTCTCCGTCTTACAAACATACAATATAACAAATTTGTATTCAACAGTTCAAATTTTGTGTAGTAAGCGTTTTAATTAAGGGTAAACTCACTTAGGTAATAACATTTTCTGTGTTTTTTCACATTGCTTATTAGACTTAAACCAATATTGTACATACTAAAAGCTTGATAAAAATTTAAAAAAAAAAACTCATTATAAAACATAATAGTTGCAAAATTGAATCAATTGTATACAATTTTGCAATGCTGTTTGTTTGAAAGACAAGTGAATACAAAACAGTGTCATGCAAGTGTGACATCCTCTTAATGCTCAAACAATACTCTATCTTAAAATTTTAAATTACAAATACATTACATTAATCACTATTACCCAAATCAGGGTAGACTATTCCCATATTTTCTTTACTTATTGAAACTTTAACCGGGAGAGGTGTCATGTATAATATACAATATTTAATGAGAGGTATTGGACGGACATATTAAAAATGATTTTTCTTATTCTGAAGTTTGCTTATTAATAGGCTTAGGGACTTGTAGCTCTAAAAAATACCTAAATATGCTCTAAAATATGCACCTAAATATAACCATATACCTATGTATTAAGATATGGGCCCCAAAAAAATAGGTATAACAAATATGTGGTAAAATTAAATATTTATTTTATTAGAATTTATATTATATAAGAATATTATTACTTGAATTGAAAATGATATAATAAATTTAATTTATTTTGATTACGAACTTATTGCGTATAAAAATCTACACTAGTGAAAAGCAAGCGACAGGCGAAATAACGACGGATAATAATGGACTAAACTGAAATAATAACTATTATCGAGCGGGCGATACGGTTTTATAGGATTATTTAAGATTATATCTACACAAAAATCATAACGAGATATGAATGATAGATTAATCTTTCCTCTGCCACCATTCCCAACAATCCTCCTCGACGCCTTAAACGTTGCGTGATTTACTTTTATAATCAGCTCAAAAACTTACTAATCAAAATCAAAAATCAAAATTTTTTATTGAAGTAGTGTCATTGGATGCCCCCTTCTATCACGCCCACATGCCTTGTAAATAATGTTAAAAAATTTACTTATTGTATCAAATGTATACAGATTGTAAATATATTGTTGTTTTTAAAATAATAATAAAAAAAAAAAAGATTTTCGGAATAAAAGAAGATAACCAATTCATAATATTATATTACGGCTCCACGTGGAGCCTCACTGATTACTTTCTTCACATTAGCCAATAAAATAATAATATTGTGTTCTAAAGGAACCTTTTCGTCACCGACTCGCGGTCCTGTGCGATACAAAAATGTGCCGCAGTCAAAGTGTTAACTACCTATAGTTTTCAATTTGAAATTTAAAAAATTTGCCAAAATATGCAAAATAAGCATAAAAATGTTAAAATATGCAAAAATATGCACATTCAAATTTTAGATCTGATATCGTGGCACCGAGAAATAAATTTATTTCGCACTCTGCTATATTTAACAATAATTAAACAAAGTATGCAAATGCTACAAGTCCCTAAGCCTATTTATTAACATAGTAATTAACCTAATATGTACCCTATATTTTTATAAGCAAAGGTGCATTAAGCTATGAGGCAAACATAAAAAACTTTGTGAGCAAGTAGATGCATATGAGGTGGAACTTCTTTCATAATTTTAAATGATATCTCGCAAACTTCCTCCCAACATCTACAAACCCACCTTAATATGATAGAATCATGGTACTCCAAATGGAGAATAAAAATCAACAATGAAAAGTCCTCGCACATCATCTTTTAGTCTCAAACACAATACAATACCCCCAGTAACTCTAAACAATAAAATCATTTCTCAAACTTCTAACATACGTTAGCTAGGTCTAACACTAGATAAACGTTTAACCAGGGCCAAGCAATTAAAAAAAAACCAATCCAATTAAAACATCAGGCAAAAATCCCTCCATATGCTTCTTGGTAAAAACTCCTCAATTAGCCTAAAAAACAAAGTCCTACTATATACAACAATAATAAAACCAATATGGTTGTATGGCATCCAACTATGGGGTTCTGCCATAAAATCAAACATTAATAAAATACGTTTTCAATCTATAACATTACGTAAAACTACAAACGCACCTTTCCAAATTTCAAATTACACACTTCACTCTGATTTAAACATCCAAACAGTTCCAGAGGTAGCAAAATCATCCTATAAATTATTTTACTTCCGACTAGCAAACCACTGAAACCCTTTGATCCTTGCCCTTGACTCTATCAACATACCCGGTGACCCTCCAAGAAGATTAAAAAGAAACTGGTGCAGAGACCTAGCATCAACATAAAAACTATTAACATTCAATTAACCCACACGTCATAAATACTACTGTTGGGTAGTTACTTAAACTCATGTAAATTCACTTAAAAAAACACATAAACAGCGAATATATGCTTATTGTAAATTACCCTTACAAATTGTATATTTTCCAAATAAATGTTAAAAGAAGTATAAATTATGTAAAATTATGTTTAGAAAAAATGTAAATTAACATTTTAAGCACATTAAAATCCAAGCCTTGGTTATAACAGATTATTTGAAAGATATTGGTAATTAAATGTCTATAAAAGTGTTTAACTATACAAAGTGTAACAGATATACCTGCCCAAAAGAAAAAAATATGCTACCTTAACGTAGGACAACATTTTTTAAGATTATACGAGTAATAAGTAATTGAAGAAACTCATATCAGCAAATTTCCTAAAATTTTATTTTGAAAAAAGTTTTATGTTCCAAATGAATTTAATTTAAACAAATTCTAAAAAATAAACTACTTGACTTAGATAAATGTTTTTACCATCAAAATTGTTCTTATAATCAGATTCACAAATCGGCTATTTTTAACTTACCCAAAACAATTTAGTTAAATTTTATATTTTTTATTTTCAGTATTAAAAGATAAAAATAATTTTTTTTATATTATACATGTAGTGCAAGTGACTATAAATAATATATTCAAAATATTGGTTACAACAAAAGTTATTGCATTGGTCAGTTCTTTCTGTTACACTCTGTGCAATAAAAGTATTTATTAAAGACATCAAAACTTTTTGTAATGAATAATTCGGAGTTACATATCCTTAAGCCAGTCTTGTTATTTGTTATCATAAATTTTTTTTTTATGAATAAATATAACATTTTATCTGAGCTCAAAATGAAATGTACATACATTTAATGAATTTCAGTTAGTAACCCATAAGGGTTAACATGTCAGTAATGTTATTGGTTAGTAAAAATATTCTAGAATAATGAAAGAACTTGTTGAAAATATAAAATAATTTGAATAAGAGTTGGTAACTTAAGAGGACACCACACCCGCATGTGTTGTCTCCGTCTTACAAATGAGTAACATACCAAATTTATGCTCAGCAGTTCAAGTTTTATGCCGTTAGTTTAAAAATTAGAGTGAATTAACCTATTATGAAACTGGATAGTAAGAACTTTATCTGTGTTTTGTTGCAAATTTTTTTTACAATACTTCAGTTTTAAGCGAGGTATGCTTGTATAATAAATGTAAATTAAAAATGCTCATAACTCACTTAAAAACTGAATTATTGTAAAAAAACTACCAACAAAACACATATTAAGTTCTCACCATCAAGTTTCATAATAGGTTAATTCACTCTAATTCTTAAGCTAACAGCAAAACTTGAAATGCTGAGCGTAAATTTGGTATGTTACTCGTTTGTAAAACAGAGATAACGCATGCGGGTGTGGCGTCCTCTTAATTAAAGTATTTAATACAACAGTACATGAATTGTTCATTGATTATTTATGAATGTTAATAAGTTACATTTTTTTTTCAGAGAATGACCTATAAAAATATCCTTTAAGGGTTAAAATGGATTGTTCACTTTTGAAAGGAGTTGTGGATGATAAGAAACTACTTATGTCATATGGAAAAAAAATATTTAGCTATAAATTTAGAAGTGGTGAGTTTTTGTACAGATTTTTGAATTTCTTGAAAGATTTTTTTTTTAACCACTCACAAATAATATTTATATGTAGTTGAATATTATTTTAGGAATAATACATTATAATTTCATCCTCACTAATGATGCACTTCAATAGATCCAAGTCCACAGAAAGTTTGTAACATTAAAAGGAAATCAGCTCAATCCGAATACTCGAGTGAAGTGCATTAGAAAATCAAGTAGAATCAGAAATGTATAAAAATTAAAAAAAAAAAACTATTTGAAATATATACAATTTAAAATATAGTTATTTAACTACATAATATATATTTATAATTGCTTGTGAGAAATAAAGTTTGTGTAAGAATCATTTACTACTCATTGTGTCTTGAAATGATAAGCAACAATTTATTTATTTATACGGACCAAGTCCAATTCACAATACATAATAACGATAAAAATAATAGTACCTATAATAATATTTGACAACTAATATATTTTTGAATAATTCAAAATAAGGAGTACAATCAATAAAAGAAATACAGTAATATAAAAAAAATAATGATTATAGATATACTATAAAACATGAAAAGTAGGATACAGAGTGGAAATTAGATTTACAAAATATTTACAAACAAACTCAAGTTAGGTCGAATGAAACAATCATCAAAATATAATACCTTCAATAAAATGTGAAACTATCAATAATTATTGAATGGGTTTCATAAAAATTAAAAATTAAGCTCTAAAATTATGAATTATTATTAAAAATGAGTGTTTTAATATAAATTCATTTATACCAAACAATTAAATCGTAACTATTTTGACATTAAAAATGTTTTAAGTTCTAAATGTTCTAAAAGATTATTAACATTAAGTCAGCTATTTTACAAAATATATTTTCTAATTTGAGACTGAAATATTTGAAATAATATTGTGCTTATAGAATATTAATTTGTAAAAAAAATCAGAAATCTGTGAATATAATAATATAGGTCTTCTTACATCACAATTTAGAACCTTTGTTATAACTAGTGTCCAGAATTATATATTACTTTATATTTTATTTATGTACTAGAATTTTATTATTATTGTTTGAAAAATTTTAAAAAAAGAGGCAATAACACAAAATTTTCCACTATGAGCAATAGTATACTAAAATATTGAAATTAATGATCAAGCAAACTTGAGCATGCAATCATCATATTTATTTATAATAAAATATAAATAATATACCTAATACAGATTACTACCATTGATTTTGAACACAGAGATTCCTATCTTCACTCATCATACACTAATAAAACGGAGACAAACAATGGTTCTCAATTAAATGGTAGCTTCTGAGTGATAAAGAAATGTAGATTCAAACAATAAAGAAAAAAGACAAAATAATATTTCGGCTAACAATAGCGTTGTTGTGTTCCATACAAACTTTGAAACAATGTAGTATCCATAAGATTAATATATCAGTTAGTATGAGCAAATACTCTCAACTATAGAGAGTTTATGGACAATTTTAAGTAGGAAATTTTTTTACATTTAATTGAAACCTGGCCTGCCAGGTACAGATCAATACAAAAATATGATGGTATTATTATCGATTTCATACATGATATTTCTAAATAATAATTTTTATAAGATATGGGTGTAATAGTATTTTTTTTTTTTATTAAATAGAAAATGTACAATCTGGATTTCATAATACAATAAGTAAAAAAGATGACTGACATAACACTACATACATAATAAAAGTAACACATGAAGCACAAGATGAGGGAAATCAGCTATCGATGGTACCCTCCAATAATTTTGATAGTAATTTAAAATATGAATTATAAATTATAATATTAACAAACAATGTATTAGTACGCATTTAAATTTTAAGCATTATATAAAATTACTAAAAATAAATTAAACTTGGGTTTCACACTTGCTCTAATCTTAACTTTGAGAAATATTCCCCAAGTTGTACAAAAACTTAAAAAAAAAAACCTAAAAATGACTTTAAAAGCTAAAAATACAAAAAAATGCAAAATAAAATTAGAATATTCTGCATAAAGGGAGCACGAAACAAATTTTTAGCTCGGATAGTATTGCATAGAATCAAAAGAAAAAAATGCAAGTCATCAACATCTTAACTCTAGTAATGACTATTTAATATAGTTTGTAAAATATATTACGGTAGATGTTTGTCATGCCGTAGATCGTAAATTGTACAAATGTTATTAGCAATATAAAATTGTCCAGTCAATGAGTATAAAGACTATGTTTTTTTAGGTACTGTAGAAACATACTTAATGATTTCTCTAAGTTCTATACTAGATAAGAAAATTAACCCAAAATATTGTAGGTATGGGAAAATATCCATAGATATTAAAATTGCAAACTATTGAGGTAAAAGACAGAAAAACCAAATATATACTTATTGGACCCAGAGAAATGGTAGGTACGAAAAGATTCATTGTAATTTAGTGAAACTATGCCATTAAAACAATATTGTGTAGTATCATAACACAAATTATAAATTACTGTAACAAAATTACTTTTTCAGTAACGCTGTAGTAATTAATTACATACTACAACCAGTGCTTGAAATGGATCAGAATGATATACCAGACATAGTATTAAATTTTAAGTCCATATGAAGAATTGAGGAAATCAATAAAATCTCAGTTCTTGCTATGTTGTAGATTTGTAAAGCCAGTCCCACACAAATCGTGTATTTGGTGAGCATCGTAATTGTGTATGTTCACCAATATTTTGATTTGATAATTATGTCACTCCAACACAACTTGTACTTTGGCTGATCACCGTACATTTATTGACAAGTGATGGGAAACGACAAGTAAAAAACAATTTCGATACTTGGCGATTAAACACCCCTACACGACTCGTATCGCATCTTGATTGATGATTGTTCACAGAGTACATGAGCCGTGTGGAACTGGCTTAAGACAGAGATAAAAAATTAGGGTACTCCGTCCTTTTTAATAGCAAGGAAGGAAAGAGAGAATAGTTCAACAACAAAGATAACAAAATGTCAATAAAAAGTTAACATACACCTTAGGTAGTTTATGTCCCAACATTACACTTGGCACTAAGGCTGATTTTTACAATGTCCGATTAAGTATCTGTTAACGCTGACCGGTAGAATTCCAAAAGTTAAGTGTCCGTTAACTTTAAACGGACATTGTACGAACGACAGTCGTATCACAGACTGTACAACTGGCCCTAAAGGTATCAAGAGACGCTCAGTCAATACATTAGTAAGTAAGTCTATGGGGAGGATCCGTGCACAGTGAACACTGTATAATATAAATTAATTTTTGATAACATGAACATAACACACGAACAAAATGGCGACGGCACCGATTGAAACGCATGGTAACGCCTTGTGGTGGCGTCGCTCGCTCAAGCGACGAACGGCATGGTTAAAACAGAGGTAGCCGCGATCACGTAGGACATAGCGCAATAAGAGGGAAGGCCAACAACAAGTGTCCGACATCGAAGATAATTTAACGTAAACGCGCGAGAATAAGCATCGCGCGACCAACAAGTGTTGTAATGGTGTGGGTCAAAGGGGTAACTTACCGTTAGTGGAGAGTCCTAGACGAGTGTTGAGAACTTGATCGCACCAGACGAAAAAATCATCAGTGACGACAGAAGCGTGGTGGTCGACGAACGTAGTGATCGAAATCACTTGATCGGGAAGTCCCTACGGTCGTGTAAGAAGTACGGCGGCTGTCGGTTTAAAAACGAGGGCGACGTAAAAATATAGGCTAAGTAGCGAGGTAGCGAAACGGTGGAAAATAAAATGGACGATAATGTTATTAAATCTGATGTTAGACGCTAGCTTAGACGCAACACATCAACAAACGCATAAACACAGATTGACGGACGGGCTATATTACCGCGAAAGCGTATTAAGAGGTTAGAGCGTCGTCTTCGGTTAGGTATGGGTAGGGTAGTACTATCTCATTTGTCCCAGAGCGACGATTTGTCCACGATTGCATCGGTTATCAACTGCTAGTACCAAACGTCACTTGTACACCGCCGCCTAAAGACGTTAATGATAGCTGCAGTACAACTATTGTTGTTGTGGTAATATCTGCGCCGGAGACGTCACCACCGACGACGTTCGACCGAAACGACGACGCTTCAGGACGCCGCACACCGCATCTATACTACACATCAACCATGGTATAACCAGTGGCGCTCCGCTGGTATGGACTCCGGAGTCGGATTTTTGTTTATTTCCTCCGACGACGCGTCGACCGCTGCGGCTGCCGCCCCCACCACCCGCCGCCGTAACAGCCCGCCATAATTATCATGTTTTTGTTGTACAGATTACGATTTACGACGACGTATGGCATAGTTTTCGTTTACTCCCCACCACATACTCGTTCATTGAATGAGTTGAATTACTTCATACTTGAATATTATAGGACACGACATTGCGAAGTGTGCGTGCACGTGTACCGAAAACGCGTCATTGTCGCAATATTGAAATGATTGTCAGACTACCGACTTTGGAAGTGCGATGACGACGACGACGTCTCGGGTAGTCGGGTTTTTGATTTTTATCTCTGTTCATTGGGAGTCTAGAGAGTAAGAGAGAGAGAGAGACTGTGCGAGAGAGAAATGACGAGTTGTTCATCGGGTGGGTGTGGGAACGAGAAAGAGCGAGAGAATGAAAAAAAAAATTGAAAAATATCTCGTTTGACAGTGACGGGCTTGGCCATACTGCCTCGAACTCGAGTGGCCGTCGCGGACAACGATAAGAAATAATAATAATAAACCTTAGCCGAGGACGATGTCTCAGCCGTCCACCGTCCGCCGCCCACCGACTTGTCGTCGAGCATTGCATTGCATTTTATTAAACATTCGCAGGACGACACCACAATAACACCTTTCTATATCTATGATATATGTATATTATTTTTTGATGATAACATAATATACATGTCATGTTATGTGTGTAATGCAGTATCATAATAATATATATTATTGTACAAAACAACAACACAAATAATAATAATAATAATAATAATACTGTCGAGTGCTACGGCCGACGAGTGTTTTTGTTTTCAATCGTCGTTGGTTCGGGGAATCTGTCGCGCACGCCGTCTGATTAATATTGCGCGTTCAAAAACAAACGGAGAGTATTGAGAAAATAAAACATTAACAAAAAATTCGCAACCACAGCAGAAATCGCGTATCGTTATTGAAATATTATTACTACTATTACTATCATTATTATTATTATTATTACTATTATAATTCGTAATTAATAACGGCGACACAATTTAGTCGGAATAGGTATCGTCGTTGTGTAACTCGCTGCCGCAGTTGTACTCCTCGTCGGCGATATTAATATTACTATTGTAATGACATTGTTATGTAAGCCCTCGGCGGGCCCGCGCAAAACCAAAGTCTGACGAGCGCCCTCGTCGTCGTCCCCCCCTCCCTCCCCCCCGGCTCACCTGCCGACCGCCAAACCGCCCACCAACCCACCCACCCACCGCCGCCGCCGCCGAAAGCCCGACAACTTGTCGTCCACACGGTGTCGCGCGCGCCGCCGTCAGTTACTCAGTTGCCCAAAAGGTCGAGTCCGGTATGGTGACGGTTACCGCCACTACAGACTGCAGTAAGTGGTCGTTACCATCGACGTCTTGTCCGTGCCACCGTCGTTATAATACGTTCGCTGCAATTGTTTTTGGTGCTTCTTCTCGTTGCACGGCCATGTAGTAGTGGATAGTCGGTTGGCCGACACTCCGTCTGGACGACGTAAAAATAGCAATAAATCCGTCGACCGTCTACAAATCGCAAATAAACCTAGGTATCGTTAGTTAAGCTATGCAAACACCATGGCTCGTGTGCCACCACATCCGTCAGCCGGACACGACAACCAGTTGGTCAACCGTCTGGTGCGCGTTGGATACTACGAGCTGGAAAAGACCATTGGCAAAGGCAACTTTGCTGTTGTCAAGCTGGCCAAACATGTGGTCACCAACTCCAAGGTAAGTGCTATCCACCTAATCCGAAAAAATAAATTTCCAAGTACCTAAGTGTATAAAATTCTGTTGATTAGAGTCTTATTGGCAATTATTGTTTGACATTAATACATGGATAGGTATTTATTTTATCTCAATATTTTCCTACCTACTTGAAATGTTTAAATGTTAAAATGTTGAAAAATTTACTGTTGTACACTAGTGTTTTTGTTCTCGCTTCAATTAAACTAATCTTTGAAATAAAATTTTTAATTTAATGTAAATAAATACATGAAAAAATACTTATCAGTATATATTGTACATAATATAATCCTGTTATTATACTTTTTTATTTGTTATTAATATCTTAAAATGTACCTGTTTGTCTTGATGTTCAAAAAAAAAAAAAAAGAGCTTATCTGTAGATACTAGTGACATACTAGGTACCTATGCGTACAACAAAAATTGTTCAATGTTTATGAACTGGAAACTTCAAATTAAATTAGTTTAGATTCAGTAAATTCTACCTTTCATATAATTTATAATTAAAAAAATTGATTTAATTTTTAACGTCAATTTAAAAATAATTATAAATTCTCTAGGTCCTATACAATTTTTTTTCCAAATATCTTTATAAAATTATTTTTGTTTAAAACTATTCAATGCTTTAATTCAAATTCCTGTTTCTGTAGTGATTGATGATTTTTTAAATGATTCTTAAATAAGTAGGTACATTTGTATATGATTAGCAAGGGACATGTACCTTTTTAATATTTTTGCTTTTAATGATTATGTTTTCATTGCTAAATTAACCATCACTGTAATAAAACAATATTTAGTTTAGTGATTGTTATTTTAAATTTATATACCTATAACCTACCTATATATTATATTTAGTTTATTCAACTGTATAATTACATATGTATATAAAATATTATAAGAGTCCAATTAATGTTTTAATAATAAGATACTAACCTACTGCCTTCATAGATTTAAAATTAAAAAGGTAGTTTAATTCATAAATCATATACATAATTGTAATAGAAAATTCACCTACTTAGCACAATTTGCTTTCTGAGTGTTGTATTATTATTATTTTTATTATTATTTTTATTATTTAATAATAATAAAATTGTAACACATTGTAACTATATAATAATGGCTCGAATAATGGTAAGGTTAGTGAAATTAAATTATTTCTTGGCACTAATAGCCTAATCACATACCTTTATAATTTGTTAAATTATTTTTATTTTTTATATTGGTAGGTATATTAAACAACACAATTATTTAATGTATAATTAAAATATTAAAATGTCTAATATTTTATAATTTCAATCACAATTAATTAATTAATGTACTAAATAATTGTGCTGATTATAATTTCGTTATATACTTAATTACATTTTAAAAACTTATCATTTAGTTGTATATATTACTTAATTTTAAATATAAATATTGCTTAAGTAGGTAACCGCTCTGATATACAGTTGTAGTTGAATGTATCTCACCAGTAGGAACTGTATGTATGTGTTAAATTAAAATTCAATAATAAATCATTGTAAATGATGAAAAATTATACTATGCAGAGCCAGTCTAACCTTTTGATAATCAAGGTTACCAAACAATTATTTTAATAATAATATCACATTTCTATAATAGCTATAGCTGAAAGTTCTAAAATAAAAAATTATAAAAGTATCACATTTCAACAAACCCCCCTGCATTTTCATTGTCGACCTCTCTAAATTACCAACCATCAAGTTGCTAGATGGTTCCCTCAATCTCTGGATTACTTAAATGTTTTTATTTTTTCAATAGAATTTAAGAATTGCTCGAGAATTACACTAGTTTTATTAGGTAATGAATGTTTACTCATTTAAACTCATTTTGGATTTTATTATAACTTTAAATCTGGCTCTAAAACAAAATCGTAATTTGTAAGCGTTTAATTAATAGATTACACATTTTTATTTTTGCTATAGTCTAATACCCATACTTTTTTTTAATAATGTTTAGTTAATTAAGTTACTTGATCATACTACGTTGAGTCTAATATAAAATCAAGTATAACCAGTGTTTATTAATAAGATATCCACTTACAAATTTAATTATTTAGCTAAATTGAACCAAACAACATAGGTGATAGGTACATATAAGTGTAATAAATTGTACCTCTCATTTTATTTATTCAAGTATGTTAAAGATATATTCTGATTACACCTCGGAGTATGACTGAACTATATTGAAATAAAAGCCAACTTTTTTTTATATAATGAATGCTTTTTAATCATATTCTCATTTAAAATATTTTATTCTATAAATTATATTATGTCAAATATAAAATATTCGCAAACAAGGAATACAAAAATATATTATTATAATACTGGCGATTTCATTTACTCATAATATACTAAGAGTTTCTTATTTTTCCTATGACCTCTTATATGGATTTAACTCTTTATTTAGATAGTATTAGATCCATCATAATCAAACATTTTTTTTAATTTATCAAAGCTTACCTGATTTAAATAGTATTACAAATAACTTGAACTATTCCTGTCACACAGTTAAATTTTTTTTTAACTTATGATGATAATGTATTGCACATTTATTTAACCAAAAATATTTTAAAATAAAATATAATATGGGATAGATTTACATGGCTATAAAATTAATGTTGTAAAAAATATTCAAAAATCTTAATATTTTATTGATAGAAATATTTAAAGGAATGTGTAGGTATTATATATTTGTATGAATAAAATGGTGGGATAAGAATAGTAATGAAACAAAATATTTTGTTAATTGTAAACTTGTACTAAAGTATTTATTTGGAAAAAAAATGAATAAGACATTTTTTTTAAATGTATTCCTCTATTTGATAATACCTAATTAAAGAAATATGCTATATATACATTCCTACACTATAGTATTTTTGTATAAAATAAATACTAATATGGATAAAATAGACAAAAAAAAAAACCATAAGATCTAAAATATGCAATCATATAGTTATGCCTTGTTGTAATTTGAATCAGATTTATATATCTCAAGTTATGGTGACATCTGATAAAATTTGATTAATATGCAATATCCTTATATTCAAAATAACTATGTCTCTAACATTGCATTAATTTATTTTATAAATTATCCCTTAGTAAGCTATATAATATAGCATAATGTAAGAGTTCATATTATAAAAGATGTCTTTGTGTAATTGTGTTAACTTATGCAAAAATGTTTTTTGTATTTGGAGAATATTTATTTTTTTTAATAATACAATTACAGAGTACTTTTTATCTTGCGGCTTATAAAATTATTCTGTATTCATAAAAATAAATTTTTTATTTTATAATTTATACTTAATAATCTTAATTTTAATTTAGTGTAATATCTGTAATAAATTGTATTCAGTTCTAAGTTCTTACAGCAATACTGTTAATGCATGTATATATTTTTATTCTTTAAATCAGGGTTTAAATACCTATAATAGTGTAATATTTTTCTTTTGTGCAAATGTGTAATAGATAGTTAGACTATTTTTTAGTTTGATTATTAGATGATTACGTATGGGTTACCTTAACCTTTGGTTTTATTATTTTTTTTTTATCAAACTACTGACCTTAGTATTTGATTTTGTATGAGTATAGGAAAAAATTAGTTTTCTATTTTTGCATTAAGAACTTATACATTACAATTAATCAACATTTATAAAGACAAAGTTTGAAATTTTTTTTAAGTATTCAAAAAAATTAAGAATATATTTCTAATATTAAAATTTTAAATTGTATTGTAATACTTAGGTACCTATGCATTACAATTGTTTTAATACATTTAAGTGAGTGCTCAACTGCAATCAGTTGTCCCTAATTAACTTAAAATTGAAATTAACTTAAAATACATAGACTATCCAAATTAATAATTTTGTTTATTTAATCTTCTATGTCTTAATTTGTTTATACAAATTTCAAATATTTCTTTATAGCATGATCATTCTTAACAGTAATTCACTTAATTGTGGGTTTTTAATATTGAAAATAATAACTGCATAGTTAAATAAGTATTATGTATATATATTAAATTTCCTACTATTAAATTTAACAATAAAATAAATTTATCATATTCCTAATTATATTTTTTCTGATGATTTATGTAAATGGTATCATATGCAAATGTATACATTTATTTCTACGGTCATTTATTGCAAAACTTATTTTAATATTTAATTTTTTTTCTAAATATTAAATACAATTATGAATAATAAGTCACTGTGTTAGTTTATTTTAATAAGTTGTATCTAGAGTTGTTTCATACATTTAAAGTGCAATATTAAGATTATACATTTTATTTTTATTTTTTTAAAACAACCAAATTAAAATTAATATTATTATTTTTCTTAATGTTCATTATCATAATCTTTAATACATATCTATTGTCTCCCAATATAATGTTTTACAAAAAGTATAGTTAACATTAATTATATGACGTAAACAATAACACAACATTGTATGTTTAATGTTTACCATGGTATCCAATTATATATAATAGATAATAATATATATTGTTAGTAGAGTTGCATAAATATAATCCCGTTAATGTTTACTTGTATTTGGTTTCATAACGATAATAATAAAAAAATAAAATCATGAAGATGCTGACTTCTTCATTCCATTTAAAATATTAGATAAAAGTATAGTTTAATTTAATGATTAAGAACAATTTCATTTGGCAAAATCATTATTCATAATACTACCTATCTCTTTATTTTTAATTTTAATTATTTTGCTTAATTCATTGTTGACTTCTTGTAAAAAATTACTATTTTCGAGCTATTCAATTTATTTTTAAAACAGTGTTTTTCTCTAGAATCTTATTTTTATTTACATATGAAACTATCTAGAAAAATTACCAAATTACATTATACAAAAATAATCACAATTTTTTAATTAAAATTCATTAGTTTTGCCTACAATAGTTTTAAAAATATTATTACCGCTCTTCATCAATGTCTTATGTTTCATTTCAGTTTTTTATGATTTTTGATAAATCTCTTTGAGTAAATCCACTTAATTTAATATTATTTGACTATGTACCTATTCAAATTTCAAAATAAAAATTTTTGTAAATTTAAATGATGCTTATTATTAATTGAAACACTTTTTTTGATTAAACAGAGATACCTAATATTTGGACAAATCATGTCTTCAAAAATATCATTCTCAATCGTTTTTGTATTGTGTGAAATCTCAATACCATAAAAAAAAAGATTCTGTGTAAATGTAGGTATTTTGTCTATGTTGGGTGTGGGCCAAAGTGAGAAAACAAACAGTGTGTTGAGAATGAAAAGTTAACATTGACAAAAACCTGTTTTAGACGGCTAGTTGGTCACGCTCTTAATGCGCAGAATATAGACAGATTATTATAGTTTTGAACTTTTAATTGCATATAGATACGTGTAGATAAATATCGCAAATAGACCTAACCGTTAATTTAATTTGAGTTCAATTATTTATTTGATCATTATTAAACTTTTCTCCTATATTTTATCAATTTAATATTTATCATATACTATGGATAGATTATGCGAATGTATCAATTAGCAACACATTAATCTGTATTTTATATTGTCAAAACCTTGAAGTGAGCATCAAATTAAATACACAAATATACAAACATTTAATATCATACTATTTTTCAATTTTTATTATCTGGAAATATTATATATATGACTATAATATAGCCAATACATTTCTTTTGGTGAGAAAAAAGTTGTAGATACTCTCATTTATAATAATGAAAATTCAGTATTCGAGAGCTATAATCTATCATGACTAGGGTTTGGATTTAAAAGCAGTATAATAAATGTATAAAGCATTTAAAATGTGAAAATAGGCCAAACAAATCATTTAATTTTTATAAAAAAGCAATTACAAACTTTATCAAAAAATTTCTGTTGATTTAACTAGTTTGTATTTTTACAAAAATGAATCCATAGATATGGATACAAATATGGGTTCTTTTCGAAAACCATTACTAACTTACTGTAACAAATACTTTATCAATATCGCCGATGTTAAATACCATTAAAACTAATTTAAAACAACATCAACAATGTGTAGTATTGTCAAGCTCTTATCGATTTGTTCCATTGATATTTTCAGAAAACTATCAGGTCAATTGATAATTAAACACATACAAATTAAAAAAGGGAAAAAAGCATATATGTACATGTAGGAAAAAAAGACAAAAAAAATGTTCACATTATCTTATAAATAAAATAAAATAATATTTTAATTTTAAAATTATTTTTCTTTTGTTATCCAAAAAAATAAAGGCATTTGCCTTCAAATCCAAACCCTAATCATGACGTATTATGCATAATGCTATCATAATTATAAGGTTTCAACTATTAACTCTTGACATATTTTTGGTTAACGGCACCTCATGACTAGAACGGCCCAACATTGTCCGGCCCACTGAGTTAAACTTGGTAATTTGCAGGGAAAATACGGCTTTGATCCTATATATTTTTAGTTTTAATTAATGCGTTTAGTAATACAATTTATAAACTGGTAATTTATTTTTTTAATATTTTTTTGTTTCAGGTTGCCATTAAAATAATTGACAAGACACAATTAAATGAGGATAATTTGAAAAAAATATTTAGGGAAATTCAAATTATGTCCAAACTTAATCATCCACATATAGTGAGATTATTTCAGGTATATTAATACATTTTACACTTAGTAGTTCATTATGTTGACTGATGATACAAAAAACATGTTTTTAAATGTTGACATATAGTTAACTTTAACTTTACATTGAAACTATCTAGTTTCATGAAGACTTAAATGGGGAGACCAAACTTATAAAGTCACCCATATGAGAAAACATCCTGTAATGAGTGGCTCTATTCAACGGTCATCAGTTGTAAAGGCCCGATTAGTATAAGAATTATTCATGTTTGTATGTCATGTTGAGTTTGGTTTCCGTGTTCTAGTCTTCATGTCTCGCCTATTCACTAAGTGATAACACTTTGGTCTATGCAGCTTTTTGATCAAAATATCATCATATTATTCAACTTTCATTACTTAAATGTATGTGTGTTACTTGTTTTCTTATGGCCTTAATGATTGGAGAATAGAAATGTAGAAACATTAATTTGTAAGTGTTCGTTGTTCAGAAAACCCAAATTTGTTTTGAGCATAAATATACTATTTGTGTCTCAAAAATTTTGCACATAACGTGATTTATAAATACTCAACAAAAACAATTTTGAAACGATTGTAAACAATGTAGTTATCTGAGTCGCTTTATTGAAAAACGTCAGATGTGTGTAATTATTCACAGTCTACATTTGTTATCGCTCTATAAGCAGGATACTACTTTCCTAACCTAACTTACGGCTACATTAAACAAGACTTATACAAATAAATAGACTGTTATGTTGCTGCTTGAATTGCTCTTTCATAAATTTCTTTCTGGATCAGAAATGCTACCACGTACCGGTTAACTGCATCCCACCTAGTTTCCGTCTGGATAAATATCTAAATCCAACTATTTTGTTGTATATATTTTAATTTGTGTTATATTAATCAGTATCAGTCTTATAAATTATTTTCTTATTTAATATTATTCAAACTTGCAGGTTATGGAAACTGAAAAAATGATTTATTTGGTAACTGAATATGCTGCTGGAGGAGAAATTTTTGGTAAATATAATTGTAATGCATACTTACAACTATATTTTTATAACAGGGATGTGCAAAATGTATTTATTGTTATAGTCGCCTTCATAAAAAATTAATCATTTTGATAAACATAAACCTGGCTGAATTATCAAAAAGCATGAAATGTTTACTTTGTTATTTATACTCTGGTTGAACCATATATTTTAGTGGTTTACAATTAATGATTGATAAACTAGAACCTAAGATTGACAGTCTAGAACTTAAACATTACAATTTAAAAAAATAAAAAAAAACCTTTTTCAAATAATCATTATTATTAAACACTTTATACACAGTAAGTAAGCTAAAACTGTCTTATTGTAAATAAATAAATCAGCAATTTTAATTTTTACTTGAACATTTTAAACATACATTTTATGCGAAATTTTAAAATTCAAAGATTTAAAAAACCATCCCTGTTTACAATGTCGAATTAAATTTTTTTGTATTCCCAATCTTTGTTTCTATAATTAATACTTTTGCTTGCAAACAATTTTCTTTTAATCTATCAGTACAAAATATACACTACTATGCCTATCTAAATTTAATCAGCATGATTAAAACAATATATTTTTACCCTTCAATTAAATTAAAATAAGATTTTACTCTTGTTTTCCTTCCCCCCTATGTCTTAAGTATTAAAAATAAACCCATCGGTGTGTTAACTTTATTGTTATACCATGTATAGTTGACGTAATCTATGTAAAATGCACATTGTATAGGTTTGATTAGTTATATAATATTTTAATTTCAATTTAGATTTTCTGGTAAAAAAAGGAAGAATGGATGAACCTGCTGCTTGTCATATTTTTAGACAAATAGTTGAAGCCGTTAGCTATTGCCATAATAAAAATATAGTTCATAGAGATTTAAAAGCAGAAAATTTGCTTTTAGATGCTGATAACAACATTAAACTTGCAGGTACCATTTTTATTTAGTAAATAATAAATACCTATGAATTTCTGTTTGTTGTTAAAATTATTTAACGTTAAATTATTTAGATTTCGGATTTAGTAATCATTTTTATGAAGGAAAATTACTTTCTACTTTGTAAATATCTCCTCCTTATGCAGCACCAGAATTATTTCAAGGACAAGAATATGATGGACCAAAAGCTGATATTTGGGTAATAAATTATATGTACAATAGTAAATATGCATATACAATTTTTTTGTCCCAAATGTTGTATTTATTTTGCATTTATTTATTATTTTTTTAATTTTATAACCTATCTTAGCTGATAACATTTGATATTTTTGCAGAGTTTGGGTGTAGTACTGTATGTGTTGGTTTGTGGTTCTCTTCCATTTGATGGAAACACTTTAAAAGTACTTCGTGCTAATGTTCTTTCTGGAATGTTTCGTGTGCCATATTTCATGTCGGCTGGTAAATAATTATAATACAATCTATTTTAACTGACAAATCTATCACTAATATAGTTAATATAATATTTATGTTAATAGTATTTGTTTTAAGATTTATTACAATAATATTTCAGTTTATTCTGAATCATTGTAAATATTTCTCCGGGGATTAGTGTCTGTGTTTTAAAAGATTTAAATAAATTCAATATTTACTTCAATAAAATGTTTTTTCTAAATCCACTACATTATTAGCTAGTATGTTTATACAACTTTTGAATTGATGATTCCATTTATTGGTCACCTAAATTATCATTGATATGAAATAATATTTAAAAATAATCAATAATCATTCAAATCTTTTATATTATTGAAGTGTTAGACACAACAAAACATGTTAATATTCAATTTTGAAAATATATTTTTATTTGTTTTCTTAAAATGTACTATATTTTATTTTATTTTCATTTGTTATTATGGTTAATCAGTATGCATTATAATTTATTGTTATTTGTTCTAGACTTAATTAAATTTTTTAAACATAATTTTTAAGTTTAGTTATTCAATGTTTCGATTTTTTGAAATAGTAAAAGATAAATCTAAAATATAATTTGTGCATCCGTGGTTATTCCTAACTATTGTATCCTAAATAATTTCTCAATTGTCCAATAATTTTAAACCCATTAGTTTTACCTCTTGTGACTTATTATTTTTCATAATTTATTAATAATTATTTTTTTATTAGCATGTGAACATTTAATACGACATATGTTAGTCATTGAGCCTGAAAAGAGACTAAGTCTGAATCAAATAGAGTCTCATAAATGGATGAAACAGGTACTAAAGAATGTATTTTATTTACATTCCAATAATAGCTTTTACATCTTGATTTTAATGTTGAAATTATATTATAATTTTAGTTGTCTGAACCAATTACTAAAAGATTAATAGTAGATGTAAACCCAATGATGAATACAGCTGTTATAGAACTTATGTTACAGTTACCTGGTCTAGATAAAGATATGATTGTTAATGTAAGTTTATTATATTAAATATTTTTATTTATTTGAAGTATGTTTTCAAGCCATTTAGATGTATATGTATATTAGAAGTATAGATATTTTATAACTAGACTTATTCACTTCGATGCAAGTGAACATTATTTTGTCGAGATGACACTTGAGTGCTAAAATATATTATCTAGTTGTGGGTCTACTAAGACCTAACTCCTAAGTGTTTTTATATTGGTACCAAGGATTACTTGGTGCTCTGGTGCATGTTTGATATTATTTTTTTTATGAAGAAAACATTATTGAAAGGTGTGTTTGAATAGTTATTTGTTATTTCTAATCTGTGTGAGTAATTGAGTGCAGCTCTCCTAGTTTGCTCTGGTTTAAATGTATCTCAGTTTGAGTCAGTGGCATGGCAAAGGACATTATTTGCCTTAATGCTTCAGTTTAAAAGGTAGTGGATGGGTGTCCTAGAGACTATAGGCACATATAATTTAAGACTTAAGTAAACACTAAGCAAATTGTTCTCACTTACCATACCTAAATACTTAATCACTAGTATAAATTAGTATGCCTTATAATTTAATGAAATTTGCCATGCCACTGGTTTGAGTTAAATAGATTCAGATGTTATTTGTTTGTGATTAGATATAGTGTAGAAATAGTTATTGTTGTAGATCGTAGCACATGATATGTGCATTAATAAAATATCACTAATGTAATATATCTTTAGCCGAATCACATAATTATGGGAGTATTATGCAGCATCCTACTAATTTAAGATGGATTATTAGATGTCAATATTATGATGTATAGACATATTAATTAAATGGCACAAGACAAAATATTTTTAAAAAATTCAAAAAAACATTTTATGCAGTAAAGTTTTTATACATTTTTAAAATAGCCATATTCTTGACCATTCTTCTTCAGGTATTCCAATAAAAAAATATATTAAAAAGAAATTGAAAATGACCAAGTTAAGGCAAATAAAATTGTTGACTTTGTTAGAATAATATCTATAGTTATTTTAACACGAATCGCATAATTTAATCAACCTCGATTTGAATACGTTTTTTTACAATTTCTTATTATCTAACTATTAATGGAGCTTTGCAAAAATGTATTAATCGTAACATTATAACTAGATGATATTTCACCTGTTTCTAAAAATAGAGACATTGATCTGTTGATATAACATAGTACAAAGGTCTTTATGATCTGGATACTCAATTCCATAGCTTTAAAGCTTGTTTGCAACTTGTATTATTTAGGGAGTAACATTTTACTGGAACGATGTAATCATTTTTTAAAACATATAAATCGTTTTAAATTGAAAAAAATAGTTAAGAGGATATTTGTCTCAAAAAAAATCCACAAGATTGATTATGTTCCACCAAAAGTACCGATATACAGCTCTCAAGAGAAAGCATTGTTAGCCATGTTTTACAGTACCAGTGGGTTGTAATTGTCTGTGGTTTTCTTATAAAACAAGCTTCATGCGTTCCAAGAACATGGGTTACTGAGTGGTTTTATTGTGAAAATACCTATACTTCCTATAACTTCCTGCAACAAATACTTTATTAATATCGCCAATATTAAATCCCATTAAAACTTATTTAAAACATAACACTTGAATAACATCTTTAAGCCAATTTTAGATATCTTCAAAAATCAAAAATCGGACTTCCTACGGAATCAGAATTTAATCTTCTCTATAATTTTCTTCATACGGGTTAATACCGTGAAACCACTTAATATTCTTGAAATGCTCAACCTTGTTTTAAAAAAATTTCTTGCAGACAAAGTTATCTTAAAAATTTAAAAACTCAAATGTAGAAAAACAATTTCAATAAAAAAAATTAATTTATTTACCTATTAATAAATTGTACTATAAAAAAACCATATTTAAATATATTGATTTGCTACTGAGATATAAGGATGATCTTTGGCGTTTGTGACATTCTGAATACTAATGGACAGCATCCGTATGAGTGGTGTGGGTATGCAGTTATGTAGATTCTCTAGTGCCAAATATTAAAAATCAAATTAAAACCATGGACAACTATTATAACGTTAATTCGTATTAATAATAATGCAATGAAGTATTTACCCTCTATCTAAACACTACATGGTTTGTGCTATCCACTTTGTATCGCAACAGTGGTTTATTCAAAAAATTTAAACGTATGGATGCCGCATTGTAAATATACATTCTACAGTGTGCATAGGACTTGAAGCCAAGACAACAGAAATAGATACCAAGTTTTTCTCTCGCACAGAAGTGCCCATACAAGAGTGAAATGGAATGGTAATAATTTTATATTGTCTATCTTAGCTTCACGATTTTGGATCATTGCCACATCCATATGTTTAATATCAATGGGTTTATCCCAGAAACCATAGTACCTATAAGAAATAAGAAGTATGTTCAATGATAAGACTGCATATATTGTTTAAGGTGCAATGTATAATTTACATATGCAATCAACAATAAACTCAATGTGACGTCACACGTATAATCTTATGGAATAAGAATGTATAAAAAAAGTATGCATAAAAACACAAGGCGATGCACATACTCAAACCAGGACGAAAACATAGTTTATGTTAAGCCTACTACTTTTTTCTTATACTAAGGCCACATCTACCAATTTGTACAGTCTATTGATATTTGTGTAAAAGTTCATTTACATAGATCTTGTACTAATAGATGGAGCGGTACCCCTGGTGGTAGTTACCGTGGTGACTAGCAGTTCTGCTCATTTCCTTGGACCACATCAGTTTGTGGATAGTTAAAAACAAAAACATCATGAACACATAATTATCATAATTCATGAATATTTCTTATAAGTTTCAGACAAATTTAAGAAATTATGATTTATTAATAAACTTGTATTAAGTATTGCTAGTAACTTGTCTAGTTTTTGATTTTGACATTTTCGTTATATTGACTTATTATAATAATACATCACTATAACACAATTTGCCGGCAACTGCCACCCAATACTGTTGGTCTGGCCAGCTTCGTCTATTGGTATTATAAGGTCTATGGGTAAGTATTAGTTTTCAAAATTATTTGGTTATGCTTCTATTGAATGCACTGTAGTCTTGTACATATTTGGATATCATAATATTCCGGGATTTCCATAGACCTTATGCGTATAATGGACGGATTGGGGATCTAGTTCTAGCTGTGAGATTTGAATGTTCTGTTCTGGTGTTACCACATTACACAGAGTATGCACACTAGATGATACATTAAAGTGTATAATATTTATTATTTATCATTGTAACGCAAATTCCTTAGGACTGCCGTAAATAATATATACATTATACATGGATGGGACATACCATGTATTCAAGTGTTATTGATAAACATATTAGTTACCAAAGTAGTCACATGTAATTAAGGTGTGATATCGCAACAATGATACGTGATAAGTGAAACTACTATACAAACATTAATATATTTTTTTAGTTTCTACTTTTTAATAATAACTTAAAAACACTGAAAAATAATAGATGAATATAATGGTCAGTAATAATGATAGCAAAACAACCATATTGAAATTAATTATCTAACTAAAAAATTAGCAGATTATTGGTTTAAAAAAATTTTATAACCAGTATCTATATCCACAAATAACCATTATGGTGACTATTAGAATTTTTGCTCACACTATACCGTGCATATTAGGTATAGGGGTGGTCCGATCCATGTATATTATCTACGAAAAACCACGTGGGCTTTACATTCTTTGCGTGGTTCCTACATTGTCTAGTTAAGTGTCGATTAACGCTAACCAGTTGATAACAGATTTTATTACCGGCAGAATGACCAGTAAGTCTACTAGTATGAGGTTTATGGTATTTTCATAATACAATTTCTTACAAATACAAATGTTTGTATCTATACTATCAAAATCAGAACCTCATAACTATTACTATACAATTATTGTTATGAACATATTAATGTTAAATTTGTTATTCAATATTTCTCATGATCCTCAATCACCATAAAGTGTTTTATTATTCTTCATCTACATAATATATAATATGTAAAAATGAAACACAGTGTAAATAAACATAATTGTAAAATATTAATACATGCCACAGTTTTTTTTACTGTTCTTGAACAATTGACGAAATTGATTTACTGTAGCTATCAAATTATGTTTCTTAAGAAATATGTGTATTTCTTCATTTAAAAACTTTTCGTTATTGTTAACATTTGTTTTATTAGTCTGTTCAGCAAAAGAAATTTGACCACGTCAGTGCAATTTACCATTTATTGGTTGACAAACTAGATACAACTGTTAATCAAAGCAACACTGCTAATCAATCATTAGTTAATGAAACTAGTAAGCTTGCGTTTATTCTTAAGTCACAAAAGTTAAAATAATTTATATAAATATCATATATATAGGTATAAATGGATCTGTTAACATCAATTCAAATTTAATTGAAAATTTACCATTATATTCAATGTCACTTTATGCTCAAGATGGTTCAATTTATGATAGTCAGCAATTAGAAAAGGTATTTTTTAAACTTTGTTATTTATTCTTTAATGTTTTAAAACATTCTATGATTACAATTTAAAAATAAATTTACAGTATGGTGATGTTGATATTGGAGAATCCACTAGTTCAAATAAGACTCAAGATAATCATCCAGTGACTACTCGTCGTCATACCGTTGGTCCTGGAAATGGCTTGATGACTCAAGTAACAAATAACTTTTCATTATTTAATTTATGAATCTAAATTGCCATTCTTTTATAAAATGTGTGTTTATTTTTGTGTCAATATATTTAAACATTTTGATAATATGTATTCTTAGCAATAATGCAAAACCAATTTTCTTAAATTTAGTTTTACAGCAATAATAATGAATTATGATTTTAAATTCAAAACTCATATAAAGACGGATTAATATTATTAAATAAAATGAATTTAATTAATTGCATATTATGAATTATGGAAAATATGTTTTTAATAAATTATTCATAAAAAAAAAAATACATTATATTGACGTTTTTAAATGTATTGACTCATTCGCTTTAAAAGTATCTCTGTATAACATTGTGTATATTTCTATTATCTTGTTTAATTAATACATTATTTTAGGTGATGGAATCACATTATATAACACACCTTCAAACTGGACGTAATGTAAATGTTTTGCCAAATACAAATTTACCTTTGAACATTCCATTAGTTGAATTCCAATCTCCCAAAAATTTTACAATCAAAGATCAACATTTATTAAAACCACCACAAGTTATGGGAGAAAGTAATGATAGATTTAAAACAAGTTATTTAGAAAAATATATTTTTAACTTATTATTTTTAGGTAACAACTTTGGTAGACGTGCATCAGATGGCGGTGCAAATTTACAAATGTCACAAAAAATGAACTGTACGTTTAGTGAACCGAGCAGCAAGGAAGATTTAAAAAAAGTAAACTTTATGCTGAAATTATATTACTCAATATACACAGATCAATAATTTTATAGTCAAATAATAGCAAAACAAATTTTTTTCAAAATAAAGATGAATCGCTTTTATAAACTAAGATATTATGATAATCTAGTTTATTATTAATATCCAGGTAACAATTTATTTTATTTTGTTGATAGCAAGTGAAAATTGATCCCAATGATTTAAGAAATGCAATAATTGATCAATCAAGTAAAGGAAACTTATTGTCTGAAGATAATGTTGCATCAGCTAGTTCTAGGTATTTTATAATAAAATTCATGTTTGACTGTTGTGTTTTTTTTTCTTAACTTGTACCGTTTTGTTAAAATGCATTGTACTATATATACTTACAGCCGTTATACCAAAGTAATGTGCAATACCTCTAGACATGGGATGGGTAACAAAGAGGAAGCTCAAGCCCAACAAACTAATTTACAAAATACACGAACTAGACGCAGTGGTGTGTCAACTGTGATGGATAGACCCCCAGGTATATTATTTTCATTCTTAAAATGCTTGAAATTTGAGTTTTACTTAATTTTGTATTCCTCTACGACAACATGACACCCTTGTTGTAAGTACTCTTTGATATAATTAAAGTTAAATTAAAGTTCTTATAATAATTATCTTTACAAATTACAAATTCTTTATTTTTTATTACTGTTACATTTGTTGTACAAATATTGCATATTATATAGCCATTTTATTATGTATATAAGATTAAAAATATATAAATGTAAATTGTAATTTCAATTTTGATCTAAAAATGAACTAATTAAGGATTTTCTTGATTATTTACTTCGTGAAATAACTCCTAGATAATAATAATTTATAAACAATGCAGGTCTTTAGTTTTCAACCAACTTATTTATAAAACAACTTAAGAAAAAAGTAAGTTACTCTATACCATACTTTTGATTTTTATAGCATTTTGGACAAATAATATTTAGTTTTGATTAGTTCCTTATTACATCCGTATGAAGTTTTGAATAATATTATTATATTCTGTGTGTGTGTTTGTGTTTGTTTTAAATGCATTATTACCTTTATTCTATTATTATTAGATAGACACTAAACCGTATTGTAGTGTTGGTTTTGTATGTGTAGTTTAGTTTTAATTTGTATTATTATTATTTTATTTTGGTAGTTAACACATTTTAGATTTTATTTTTCTTAAGAGGGTGCAACAGTCACGTTTTTACTGAAAATAATAGTCATCAATTATTAGATTTATTTTTAAAAAAAAATATTGAAATTAAGATATTAAAAAAATTGCCTACCTGCAATCAAATAAGTCTTTACATTTATTTTGGTTAATAAATTTGGTTCATTATATGAGCATGAAGAAGGCTGTCATAATACTGTAACCATAACATATTGAATCAATTATGTGATTTCAATAATCTAAAATATTTCTGAAACATTTTTTAAAATTCGTAAATAATGTATTGTAACATCTTTTTTAATTATTCTTAAATTTAAATATTTTGCTAGAATATTCCACATTAATCAATCTAAATAAAAACTGTTACTGTTAAGCCCTCTTAATTAGTAGTTTGTTTGTTTCCATTGCTTTTTTTTTTTCAAAGTCATTAGTCCTGAAGTGGTGCGTGAAGTAGAAGCACGTATGAATCGAGAGTATGTACCACCACCATTACCAATGGTCAGCACTTCTAGACATAGTCACCGTATATCTCAGGTTTCAGTTTTACCAACAGTACAAGAACTGCATAGACATTCAGGTATCATGTTTTTTTTTTTCTATGAGTACCTAGCATCTGTGGGCATTATCTTGTAAATTATTTATTAATTTTAATTATTTACAAAAACTATTTTATTATTTTTTGATTAGGTCGTGAAAGTTTAAAAGATGTTAGTGGTTATTTGCCATCTGAACGATATAGTCCAGTACGAAGAACAAGTGAACCAGTTGTCACGTCTAGTGAAAATCTAGATCAACCTAATATTCGTAATATCCAACAGGAACATATTCAGCTTCAAGTAAAATTAACCTATCAGTATTATTTATAAAAACTTAATAATTAATCTGTTCCTTATTAACAGCAAAAAATGAGTGAAAACACATTGGATACTTGGGATCATGCTGAATTACAAATGCTTCATACATATCATTTACAAAGTCTGCAAACATTAGTAGATCAAACTTCATTTTTAAATACAACTTCTAATCATCAAGGTATTACAATATGAATCCTTTATATGTAAATGTTGTTTAAAAAAGTTAATTCATAACTAGAAAAAAATAATTTTTTCAGGCAATTCAAATGTTCTTAGCCAACATTTGCAAAATTTGAATTTACATCAAACACCTTTAGTTAATGTTCCACAAACCCAAGGTAAGAATTTTCAGTACTTTAACTATTTAAAAAAATTTTAAATTGCAGATAAAAAATATATATGAAGCATTGAGAAATGATTATAACAGTATTGTTAATGGGGAGCTTTAATACCTTCCATAATTTTACTGTGGAATTTTCTTCTATTTATTATTCAATGAGTTCTATTAAAAATTATTCTTGCAATGTATTAATCAAGTTAAACCATAAACTACCAAACTTTTTAAATTATCCAAGTTTATGTATGAATTTCTATATTATACAATTAAAATTAATTTAGTTTTCATAAACAACTTAGGATGTTCGGTAAGGATTAATATTTCCAATCAATTTCATTATAAAATAACATGTCAAATTTATTTAAATACTATCTATAACTTTAAATAGTTGAACCCTAAGTCCATAATAAAGTGGTTAATATAATAATTTATTTTTTCTTCAAATAATATTGTATTTTATTTTATTTATAGGTTCAATTACTCAAGGTACACCAAATATAATGTCCAATCATCAAATTCCAGTTCCGTTGGACTTGCGAACGAATAATAAAATAAATCCTCAACCAACTATCGTAGTAGAAGATAATACAATAGGTTAGTGTTATTTGTTCTTTGAGTATCATTGTGTACCACTAACATACATTTTTATCCTTGTTTTCCAACTATCTTGGGTTAGCCAACCCAATCCTACATCTCCAAAATGCTCTGTCTCTTACCTCTTTTTTACTCACGCCAGTTATTTCTATACCATTCTTTATTCTATATGTTTATATATTTCAAATGAAATCTCAACTCTGAACACTCCTGAACTCTTAGCATATGCCTTCTTCAAATCTATAAACATCATACCCAAATTTGTTTTCCATTTCCCTATATTTCTCCACATGGATTTCTCCTATTTTCCAATCTATAAACCCTAACTTATTCTTTGAAATTGTAGTCTGTCGTCTCGTTGCTTATTCTCTTGTCTATAACTTTTTCCCAAATCTTGTGCTGGGACCTAACATTTTGTAATGTAAGAAGTAGGTATCTCGTTCCAAGCAATACTCTTTCTTGTGATTAATACTGTAATTACATTATTTCTTTTATCAATCTTAATAAATTTATAAAACAATTATAGTTCCATAGCCAAATAACAATATTTGAGTATTACATATATTTTATTTATTTACTTTTAGCAATAGGTGAAGAAAAACTTCTTCCAAATCCAGAAATATCACTTATGATAACTAACGAAGAAGGTGGTATGATGGAAGTAGACTCATTACTGACAAATTCAGTGAATTCTGTGAATACAGGTAATACTTTACTAAAAAAGTCAAGTACTGATCAACCACTTTCAGCTATACGTGATGGTTATGAAGAAATCAATCATATGACTGCTGATAGAAATAATATTATAACTGATATGGACTCTTCAACTTGTTTGAAAACAGCTCCACTTTTTTCTGACTATATTCTAAAAAGAACTGCTAGTGATGCATTTGTTGTAGACTTGTCTGATTTCTATTCGAATTACACCTCTGGTAATATACTCAACATAGTCAAATATTTGATATCATCCAACATTCGGGTATGGCCTGTGCTAGATAGACAAAATGTGTTGCAATTTCCAACAGGCTTGCAAATTGAACTGGAAGTGTGTTCAAACGACACAGGTGCCAATTCATATTTAAAAATTCAGCGACTCTCTGGAGATTCAACTGAGTACAATAACATTTGTCATAGGCTGGTCGAAGACTATTTACCTTGTAACGAATAATATTATTAATCATTATATTACTTTTAATCTTTTCATGGCTGTGCTACTTTTGTGAATGCAATTAATTAATATTAGTCATTAGTTTTAATAAGAATCTTTCGTTATTAGAATTTATACACAAAGACCTTAATCATGCAGTTGTGAATTATAACTAATCATCTTTATCTTATACGGACTGATTTCAATATAAATTATATATTTTACCAAACTCTTATTTGAGATTTCCATTTAAATAATTATATTTTATAAATTTTTAATTAAATGTGCGTTTGTAAAGTGGCAGCACAAAATGTATTCCATTTGTACTATTCCAATAACCATGTAATCAAATATATTGTATATTTAGCTAATAATATGTGAATGCTGTTATTGTATATTTATTTCCAATTGTTAAAATAATTTTATGATATTGTTAACTCGTTTTTTTTCTAAATTTATACATTTAATATGTCTTAGAGCATCTGACATTAAAATAAATGCATATAAGAATAGAATATTTCATAGTTATAGCAAATATTTTTTTTTTAGAATAATTAATCAAGTCTTGATCAAAACCGTATTATACTCGCAATAAATGTTATCAAATTTCATAACTCTATCAGTTCAGAAGTCTTAAATTAACCAAAGAGTTACTAAAACTTGTATAATATATTGTTATAATAAAAAAAAGAGTTTAAAATTTATTTGGTATTTAAAATTTTACTTCTGGGCTGTACAAATATTTTTAATACTCCAATATTGATTCGTTGGTATTTGTTTGTTATTACTTTTTTACTTTTTTATTGTGATCTTTTTATTGTTATATTAATATTATTATATATTTTTTTTTCACAGTCTACTGTGATCTGTGAACCATGTTTACCACCATTGGCTATTATTAATAACCTTACCTTATTCTAACTTTAATAGTTTACATTGCTGTATAGTATATATATATATATATATGCTCAATATCAATGTTGTGTACATGTTATTTGTTGTTATTATTATTATTATTTTTTTTTTTATTATTATAATTTTTTTTTGTGTGTGTGTGTGTGTGTGTATTACAATGTTATGAATTGAACACTAAACTTCTAAGCTCAATGTCAATGTTGTGGACATGTTAATTGTTATTATCTATACATTCCAATATGTAAGTATAGAATATTGTGATAGACTAATCAAATACTACATTTTATTTTATTTTTTGTTTAATTTAAGCGCATCCGGCAATGCACTCTTGTTTAGAAAAATGTAAAAATGTTATGCCAATATATATTTACATATATATATATATATATATATAATGTACCAATATAATTTTAATATTAATATGTTTATAACCATATATTAATTGGAAGACAATATACAAAAATAAATTATCATTATCAACCAATAACTGAATGAACGTTAATAGAATTATTCATTAACAATACATTAATATATTTTATTTATTATCACTCAAACCAAATGAGATTTTCAAGTATTAGAATATGAAATGTAAAAAAAATTTGATCAATATCTTTACAGCATCAATAATTCACTAGAGCATATAGTATGCACTACATAAATAATTAAATAAATAAATAAATAAATTGTACAACAAAGTAATTAACTTCAAATGGTTACGATTTAGTGATGGACCTATTTAATTTGAATGTTCTAAGTTGCTTGTATTTGTATCTCCTCAATTATATTGGATACAATATTTTACCTGTGCAAACACGTTTTGTCAAGGTTATCCAAGATACTGAGGGTGGTTGTTCAACCATCTCTGGAAGATAATGCTTCACAGTGGCCCACCATGAATCTGCCACGATTGTTGTGTTCAAAACCACTGTACTCGACTTCTCATTGCTGACTATGTTCATTTTTATTATACCTGTTAGGAATATCTGTTTCTTTAATTTTAAGTTCGTTATAACAATGTTCATCGTTTTTTTTTTTTTTTCAAGATCAATAGGCATATAATACTATATGTGAATAAAACACTGACCTGCAGAACTGCTCGGCTTAACAAACCATATCAACGTTGTGTACACAGGAAGAACTTGCAGCACATACCTTAGCCGTATCAATATCCCTCTTGCCATAACCATTATTGTTCTCATCTATAAAAACAAAATTAAATAAATAAAAAGGCTCAATGTCTCTATATTAATAATCTAAGTTGTGTTTTACGTACAACTACAAATACAATGTAGTAGATCAAAGTTGTTGGTAATAGAAACAACAATATGGCAAACGATATAGTTCCGACATACAACTGTTGTGTGGTGTAAGGTTTAGTCCTTCCTGGTTGTGGATTACAACTTCTTCCCACGAAAAGTTTTGCCAATATCATGAGACTCTTACGTTGTAAGTTATATAGCCTATTAACCATTCATGTTTCAATTTGTGAATTTTATTATGTACATTAATAATTGTTTACACAACATAAAAAAAAATATCTTGACTTATTGTAAAAGGTTGCTAATATCAAATTTTGCAATTTGAGATAAGAACACTATCTAGTGTTAAAATAAAAAATGTATTCACCATCAAAGATAATAAGAAACACCATTCATAAAATAAATAACATAATAAAAATAACTATGACTACTTTTAAATGTATGTAAAATTTAAAATTCAATAAGTTCTTGACTTAAGTGATATTTAACCCACAATTATTTTATTCTTGAGATCAATCATGCCGTTATTAAATTAAAGAATTTAACTCTAATTGCCACCGTCTAAAACTGACCATAGGTGTTAATTTTAATTTTTAATGATCAATCATTATTTTCTGTTACCACCTTACTTACTAAACGTGTCACTAATTTAAGATACTCAGTAGCCAATCGAATTCCTATACAGTTACTTTTTTTTTTATGCAATAATCGTGATCTAAACCATGGACGCTCATAATTTGAATGCAATTAAAATGAATATTTTTTAACTATAATATAGCTTTAGATAAGTTATTATCGACTTATTTTCTAACCATTTCAAGTCTCGACTACATATTTTACAGAGTTAATTAAGAAAATCTTTCCAAAAATTGTATTACAAGAATTATTGTACAATTATTTAATTGTGATAATGTAGTAGGTATTTTATTTTATAATTATTGTTTCAAAATTATGGAATATATGTAGTGTTGTGATACTTACAAAACATACATTTCACACAACTCGTATTGTTTACCCCACAGATATTACACCATAATTATTGTATATGTCTATGGTTTAGCCTTTCATATTCATAGATATTTGTCAAAAACATAAAGTGGGGGAGTTCATAGACCCATAATTATTATTTATTATATAAATCTTCTGATTTCTTCACAAATCATGCCATTACAGTATAGAGAATATAGGTAGTAGATTATAAGTCTGTTGACATTTAAGTAGGTATAGGCAGATATTTTAATGCCTTTCATCTTTTTATTAATCAAATGTGTTGCCTATATAATTAACTCATTTTTATATTCAATGGGTATGAATTGATTGGGCATATGTGTTTATTTACAATTTAAAAAAAAATAAATACTAAAATATTATTTATTAATTAAAATGAATACATCATTCAAGCAGTTGGTTTGATTTTAGGATTGAAGATAGTCTTGAACTATGCCACTATCAGAGTAAGTACTCTAAATCAGTGCTTCTCAAACTTTTTTGTCTTGGGCCCCCTAAATTTAATATAAAACTGTCAAGGCCCTCTAAATCAAAATCATTAACTGTTTTCTTAATTATATAATAAAATAAATATTTCCCGGCCCACCAGTCATATATCCACGACTCCCGGTGTTCGGACAAAATCCCGCAACCAAAATGCCGCCTGACAAAATGCCGCCACCAAAATCACGTCTGGACAAAATCCCGCCCGAACGAAATCCCGCCGGGTAAAATCCCGCAAAAAAACGTATTGTACGTAAATTCATTATAACGTAATTCGTTAAACTGTTTCAAAAGTTGTCTACTGCTGATCTGTATTGGTTATTGTTGTTATTTATAAAAGTATATCATAATATATATGCGGAACTGGTAATGCGTTATCGCTTATCGCTTGAACGATAATTAAGAAATCCGTATACGGTATAGCCATATACAAGCCCGGATTAAGGGGGGGGGCCAGAGGGGGCCATGGCCCCCGGGCCTCGATTTTTAGAATTTATTGAGGGGCCTCTGATTTGTCCATTAATTTTTTCGTTACAGGCTGTATAACACTACATAAATCTCCTAAAAAAAATCGATGATTATTTAATTAGGAAAAAAGCTTGCAAATTATAATTTATAAATAAAGTAATACATTATTCATTATTTATTGCTATATAACTAATATCTATATATTATATTTATTATAACAGGTACCAAATATTAAATATTATACAATGTGTTCCAGGGTGAAGTGACCGGCCAACGTAATATGAAAGTATACCAAAAATGATGAAGAAATACCCTTTAAAGATTGAATCTAACTTTTTTATTTTTTTAGTTATGGGCAGTTGACTTTTTTTTACCAAAACCATGCGTATTACGCATTTATATAAACAAATCTTCAAAACTTTTCAATATTTTGAAGTAATTTTTATTTTATTTTAAAGTTAATTTATTGTTGTCCTATAATTTAACATACGCAATTAAACCAGAAATGTGCTAATTATTTTTATTAAATTAAAAAAAGGGAAAAAAGTTAGCAAAAATTAGTATTTTTAAAAGGAAATTGTGCATTATTCCAAATAATTTATTATTAACTATGAGTTTTTGTTTTTTGTATTATGACAACTAAAATTTACCGAATAGTATAAAATTAAACTATTGACGACCAATTAACCGACTCAATCCTATGAAAACTAAGATTGTGACGATTAACAGGAATATATTATGAAAACCAAAATTTCAAGGTATTCTAGGTATTATTCTGTATAATTCAGTATAATTCAGTATAATTCAGTAGAATAATACAAAAAACCCATATATACTTAGTATACTAAGTAATAAATTATTTGGAATAATACACGATTTCTTTTAAAAAATGCTAATTTTTTCCAACTTTTTTCTACATTTTTAATTAAATAAAAATAATTAGCGCTTTTTTAGTTCAATTGCGTATGTCAGAATATTGATAGGACAATTAAATAGCTTTAAAAAAAAAAAATTTACATTAAAATGTTGAAAACTTTTGAAGATACATATACAAATGCGTGATATGTATGGTTTTGATAAAAAAAAAGTTAATTATAAACTTCAAAAATAAAAAAGTTCACAATCTTTAAAGGGTATTTCTTCATCATTTTTGGTATACCTTCATATGATGTGTCAACTGGTCAGTTGACATTTCACCCCAGAACACATTATATACATTAATATATTTTTTTTTTTCGTACAGGGGCCTCATTTAAAACTTTGGCCCCTGGGCCTCAAAATGTCTTAATCCGGGCTTGGCCATATAGGTATATATATATAATATATATACGCAATTAACTGACGCGCGTGTACGATCTATTGTACTTCATCTCCGAATTTACGATATTAGTATACTTCTGACATTCGTAACATCAAATTAATAAATCAGTCTACAGAAACCACCAAAAAATGATAAAACAATATGGAAATGCGTGGAAAGCAAAAATGTTATGTGTCGCGCGAGAGTCCACACTAATGGTGAAGAAATTACGAAAGTTATGAATGTGCATTCCCACCCACCTGATCCAGCCAAAATTAGTGGTAAGCGAATTTTTTCTAAAT